TTATCTTTGGACCTGAAATCCAGAAAAGGAAATTGCTTAGTCAATCACCTGATCTGAATGGCATTAAATTAGTCTCCGAGAACAAAGTAAGGAACCTTGGTGTTATTTTTGACAGGGACACGTCATTCAAATCCCACATTAAACAGGTTTGTAGGATTTCCTTTTTACCTGCGGAATATTGCTAAGATTAGAAGCATCCTTTCCAATGAGTTATGCCGAAAAACTGGTTCATGCATTTATTACATCAAGATTTTGATGACTGTAATTCAGTACTCTCAGGAAGTCCACAGAATGTAGTTAAAAGTCTTCAGATTCACTAGGATGAATAGAATAAAGTTTATCTCTCACCAAATAGAATATTTACGAAGAAATCACAATGTAACCATAGAAACACTATTTGGTATAAATGTTGTGTGTGTGTGTGTGTGTGTGTGGGTGGGTTGGTGTTGGCGTGTTTCTGCTCTGTCTTCTCGATCCCCAGTGAGTTGTGGCGGATGGCTGCTCAAATTGATCCAGGATCCTCTGGAGGTTTATTCCTGTTAAAAGGGAGTTTTCCTCTGCACTGGTGCTAAATGCTTGTTACTGTCGCTAAATGCTTGTTTAGGATGAGGATTGCTGTTAAGTCACTGACTTGATGCAATTTGCTGGGTTCCTTATATAGGACACTTTTTACTGATTGGCTTAATGAACTGGGGTCTCATGTATCAAACATTTCATAGAATCCTTACTAAAACCGTACTTTAGCTCAGCAAAAAAATATGTACTTACGCCAAGTAGGTTTGTGATCTATCAAACATGGAGTATGCACAGCTGCACGCAGTCTCCGCTTCATAAATCAGAAACTATCTAGAAAGGTTCTCAGCTGCTTTTTAGTCACATCCCGCCCTCACCACACCCACTTACTGCCATAAATAGTCAATGCAATGTGCCTTGTGGATCTCATGCATATACATAAGCCGGCTGTTGCGGCGCTCCGCCAATGACAATGGCGACCGTAGATCAAGACAGATCAAGCAAGCGCAATTTCACAGAAGCAAAAATTGAGGTACTTGCTGGTGATGTGGAGAAATGAAAGGAAGTGCTTTTGCAAAACAAATAAGAAAATCCACGGAGTGGCACAGCGTTGCTGAAGCCATCAATGTTGTGAATTCTTCAGAGAGATCTGTGGCGGATATAAAAAAAAATGGTCCAATCAGGATTCGATCCTCAGACTCCCAGGTGAAAGTCACACGTGCTAACCAGTCACCCAAACAGAGATCTCCCTTGACCAAGTAGCCAGGGGGCATGATCAATCGGGTCACAGTGACAGGATGCTCACACTGTCACAGACGCATGACATTGTCTCAACCTGTCCCCCTGCTGATATTCTGCGCTTCAGGCTGTGTGTGCGCGCGCTCATGTGTGTGTGTGTGTGTGCGCGCATGTGTGTGTGTGCATGTGGGGGGTCTTGTTCTGTGTGAAAATGAAGCAGTACGAGTGATAATGCTGCAGGATTTCATAATTGTATCCTTCTCAGCAGCAGCACTGCAGGTGCTCTCCATGTCCAAAATGTGCGTAAGCCATGTCCTTAGGCAACTTAAAGTTGTGCACATTTTTCCGCTAAGTTTTCTTTCATAAATCCCAAAGTTTGCGTGGAAAGTTGCTTACACAGTTTTCTGACCCCATTTTGTGCGTAAGCACGCTTGATAAATGACGCTCCTGAACTGTATTGGAATGTTTACCATGTGAAGTGCCTTGAGACGACTCTTGTCGTGCTATATAAATAAACTTGAATTGGTCAGGATGCCTCCTGGACGCCTTCCCCGGGAGGTGTTTTGGGAATGTTCTGCCGGCAGGAGTTCCCCGGGTCGACCCAGGACTACCAGGAGGAAATACATCTCTAGGTTGATCACGGAATGCCTGGGTGTCCCAGCTGAGGAGCTGGCGAACTTGGCCAGGGAGAGGATTGCCTGGGAGGCCCTACTTTGGATGTTGCCCCCGTGACCTGGACCCCAGATAAGCAGAGGACGGTGAGGTGAGGGGTCTTGTTCACAAGTGAGGGAAAAATGGAGTGTGAGATTGATAGGCGGATTGGTGCTGCGTTTGCAGTGATGCAGGCATTGTGCTGTCTGTCGTGGTGAAGAGAGCTGGAAAGCAATGCTCTCAATTTACCGATCGATCTACGTTCCTACCCTCACCTATGGTCATGAGCTCTGGGTAGTGACTGAAGAAACGAGATCGCGGATACAAGTGGCCAAAATGAATTTTCTCTGCAGGATGGCTGGGCTGGGTGAAAACGGATGGATGGACTTAATGTTACTTAAATCTTGTTTTTTATTTTCTGTAGAGTACGTTTTGATTAGATTTGTGGTTCACCTGTAAACACAAATCCAGGTGTAAAGTTGTCATATTAATGATAATATTAATAATGATAATAATAACACAGCAGTGGCACATGGCCGTGTGGCCGTTAGTTGAGGATAAAGTGGTTTGGTACTCAGCATCTTTTTGTGGTATTCCAAATAAACTCACATTTACACATTTCAAATAACAAATGATTTTCCAGACTCAAAACATGCTTCAGAGTCAAAACAAAGGTATTTTAACGTGAAGCTGTCACTACACTTAAAGGCAAACGGTATGTAAATATCAACAAAGCAGGAAAATAAGCAGGGTTGGCCGAAACATCAAAATGTTCAAAAACATTGTGAAGAATAACAAAATGATTAAGAAAATTTTAACAAACAGATAAAAGGTGTGATGAACAGATAAGAAAGCCCTCTGTTAAGTTATAAAGGTCAGTATTCCTAAATTAGGAATGTTACCTAAATGATTCCTTTGCATTTCTTTAAAAAGATGTGACCTGGGTGGCAGTTTGACAACAGAGGTGTCTATTGGGGCCAGTGGGGGAGCTGGCTCCCTGGAGGGCTAAGCCCAACCAGCCATTCCTCCCCATCCCCGCATATTTCTCTCCTCCTGCTCCCTCACATCATCACACAAACATACACATAGGACCTTGGGGGGTGGGCAAGTCAGGGAGTGCGGGTATGGACCGTATGGACCCCATTTCCGCATTCCTGTGGCAACCTGCCCCCCAATTTTATTTGCACCTTAAGCACTTCCACCAACGACATTCCACACAAACACACACTTAGGGCCTTGGGAGTGAGCACATTCAACGGCATTTGGCAGGGGGATATTTCAGCCTCCTCCCGAGTGCCGGTGCCCACTTCCAATTTTAAACCGCACTTAGACACTGATGGCTGAGGGTGTAAGTGGGGTGGTGCGGTGGCATCAGCTGGCATATGCCGGATGATGCCCGCACTGCCCACTCACCACAGCCATGGAATACACCTCATGATCACACAACACTAGATTGGAGCAGGCGGAGGGAGACAAGGGGTCTTAGCCACCTCTGTTGTTGCTAGGCTTCCTGGGGCTGGAGGCTAGGAGGGAGATCTGGCCGTCTGGTTGGGGTCTGGGGTGGTATGTTGCTGTGCTCAGCATTGGGCGGGGGAGCCTGCTCATCAGCACCCCAGCAGAAATGGTCAAACTCTGGTAACCGGTAATGGTTGTACCCCATGTGCAGCAGTACCGGGACCAGAGTGAATAGGGTGTGTATGGGGAGCATGAGTGAGTGTCCGGCGTGCATTTTTGTCAGTCTTTGGTTGTATGTGTATGTGTGAGCATGAGGGAGGGAGTGTGTGACTGTGTTTGTGTATGACTGTATATGTCAGGTGGGGCCTTTGGGTCCTCCCCTCTCCTGGAACTTCTCTTGATGATATAGATCTTTGTCCCCCCTCCCCCTGCCACACCTGGTGTGGGGGCTTGTGCCATGGTCTGCCTGAGTGTTCGTGGCAACCGGGTCTGGGGGTTTAAGATTTTGGCATCTGCCTGACAGATCCCGGTGGCTGCCTGGTGGGGTCTGGGTCCCTGGGCTCTGCTGGGTCCCCGGCGGGGGTGGTCACCCCTGGGTCCCGGGTCGCTGGGTCCCGGGCTCGGCCGGCTAGGGGGTGGGAGGCTGCAGGCGGGCCTGTGGGCTTGCCGCTGATATCTCCGGGGACTCTGCCGGCTGCTGGTTGTGGCCCCCCGGGGCGATCCTCTGTGCCTCTCGAGGGGGCCGGGGGCATTTCTGGTTGCAGTCTCCTTGAGGTTCCTGCATTCTGGGGCAACGCCTGGATCTCTGGGACTTGGAGCTCCCCCCGTCTCCTGCGCATCTTTGGAGGGCGGATCTGTGGTCCCTCACACTCTCTGTTAGACGCTCCTATAGAGAAATCTTACATAAACAAGCGCGTGTACACACACAGGTGCTCACATGGTGCTCTCAAAAGTATGGGCTTGGGCACGTTCAACACATGTCTTAAGGCTATGGGGGGCACTTAATGCACTGTGATTTATTATCGTGATTGTTCAGTTAAGCAATGTTGATTATATATATATATATATATTGTTTTTTTTGTTTTTTTTTTTCATCAAGTTGACGCTGTGATAGGTAGATCTTGTTGTATTGTTGTTGTGTCCCTTTTTGTGTCCTTTTTTTTGTCTCTTTCTGCAGGTCTAGAAGCAGACTCTTGTTCATTGTTTATTTTTGTGGACACCCCCCCCCCCCCCCCCTCCTCTCTCTCCACCTTTTCTCTTCCTTTCTCTTTCACCTCTGTCTCCGTGTCTGGTCAGAATTACAAAGCATTCAACAACAATAACAATAAAATTTGAAGTATCAGGCGTGACATTAAAAGCAGACGCTTTGATGCTCCACCTGAGAGTAAATCTGTAAGGCTTGTTACCAGCATTCAGACATCAATTCTGCTTGCTTCACAGCCAGACAGGACACGGTAAAAAAAAAAAAAGATGTGACCTTCGGGGAACTTTAACTAACACTTACTGGTTTTCCTAGAAACCTTCTCTGGAGGTCAGGACCAATTGGAAACACTCTTTTCATGTTTGCTGAAATCCTGAATTTCTCTCCAACCATTACTCAAACATCCAATCACGCCCAGACTGGAAAACATTACACACAGGAATACTGTGGAACAACAAGGTTATTTATTAAAAATTCTCATAAAGCTTGTAAAAAAAAATTGGGATCTTTTTCATGAGACCAGAAGTAGAAACAGAAAGTTATAGAAAACTTTAATTGACGTTAGTTTTACTTAAAAACATTCAAACTGAAATCTACAGCAGATGCTTTAAACCTTGGAATAAAATCCAAACACAAACTGAACTTTACAGAAAGGGCACCCAGGAGGTGGTGGTTCAGACTGAAGACGACCATTGTTTCTTTGTCTCTGAACACAACCATTCATCAGTTTGGGTTTTCTAATACACTGTTAAAAGAATCAGTCAGAGGACATCAACCAATGGAACTAGCAGGAGAACGTTCTTCTTCAGATTAATGTCCTAAAGTCAGCTGGGGGAGTTTCCTCTCAGACCCAGAGGAACCAGCCTGGGCATTGGCCTCCAAGTCACTCCCCCATTGCCCACCCCGCTTTCTCCCCCCTCCACTGCTGTTCCTTCACTGCTGGGGAGGTCCACCACTTTGGCCTGGCCCGCCTTCATATGCAACAGAGGGGGCGGGGCTAGAACACCTCCATTAGTGCACTCGACAGTAGGTCCTGACTTCACCCCCCAATTACTGGTGTCTGAAACACTTTTTATATTAGCAGCCTGGGACTGGGGGGCATGTCTTAGTTCAGTGACTTTGCCCAAAACTGAGAAGGTCTGTTCAGAAAGTTCTACTGGTGCTGGTACCATTAGGACATCAGACTGCTGGTTAGAACCATTACTGCTGAGGGAAGACGAATTTGTCCTGCTGTTGGGGTCTTGTTGGGGACTTGATCCTGGAGCCTGTGAGGATGCAGGTCTGAGGATGAGGTTCTGGGTCAGTTGTACTGTTGGCTGTGTTTGGTGCAGTGCAGGTCCTGGACGAAAGGGGTTTGGCGGGTGGGTCGAGCCTGGAAGTGTAAACGAAAACAGTCAGTTCCCTATGAGTAGGGTTGCAGAGATTATCTGGTTTAACTATTCAACCCACCGTTAAGACTTCTCCCACACCGCCAAGAAAACAAAAGAGGCAATAGCGCACAACCCGCATGGACACGAACAACAGCGAAAATGGAACGGATGCACGCGGCACACGCAGAACCACCAGGACTGCTCTGTTTCCGGTTCGTTCATCTCCCAAAGTGGCAGAAAAAAACGTTGCTATACCCCCAACTTGTTTCACCATCTCTGAGATCATCATTCAGACAAACTACAACGGAGTCAGATTAACTTAGTTACTGAACTTAATTGTCAGTAATATTAGAACAATCCACTGAACAAGGGTTAATTTAGTAATGTTGTTCTACGATTCTTCTGTATTTCAGTACAGCAAGCCATTTTAACATCTAATCAACACCTCTTTATAATTCTTATTTTACATAGAAATAATATATTTTATCCTTGTCTAAATAATATTCTTACTACCGGTAATCAATATTGAAAACAAATATATGAACGTGTAGAAATTATATTTATTTAAGGACATTCATAATAGCAAATGCATTAGTAGGAATTTAGCATCTCATTTCATTAGTAGGGGCATAAAAATATTGGCTTAATTGCAATATTGTCGTAATTGAATGACCACGATATCGTTGTGGTCTTGTACTGTATAAAACGTCTTGAGGTAAAAATAACACTTTTCAGTCTGCTCCACCGGCGCATAGCTAAGTAAACTACATAGACCATGATTCTGAAATTTGCACTTTAACAAAGGCTTTATTATGGAACTAGGATTGGGACAATATTCAGCGTAACTTGTACCAAGTTTTGTAACTTCGAACATGTTTCATCACATGTAACTTTGGATTCGTAACTTGTAACTTTAGTTTTCTAACTTGTAATTCTCAATTCGTACTTGTATTTCTTGTTTTGTAACAGGAACATTGTATTTTGTACATGTATTTTTTATTTTGTAAAATCAAACTTTTATTTTGTACATTTACTACTCATTTTGTAACATCAAACATTCATTCATAAACATGAAACTTTCATTTTGTAACTGGCAGACTTCCAAATTGAAAAAAATCAAGGTACAAGTTTGAAATCAAAACTCTCAAAACACACATTTCATTCTACAGGTACAAACCTCAAATCTACAGTGTTACGAATCTTTTTGTCTCGATTCTAGCGTCAGTGGGAGGAACTTGGGTGGAACCAATGAGAGCATGAGTCTTAGCTACCAATCACGTTTCTCGAATTCCTGTCCAGTCATTGATAAATATCACGATAAATAACATTCAACTGTTTGTATTTTAACATCGTCCTTTTAGTTTTATAAGCTGATAATTATACTGAAGCAAACATCTTTACTGTGAACTAAATTTACTGTGTATCTTCATTCCTTTTACCGTCCTTTTACATTTGATTTTTCCTACTGGGAAGTTAGAATTTCCGAGGAGAAAGCAAACGCACCATTAGCTGATAACAATGGTAGCAATGGAAGCTAACATACCAAGCTAACGTTATCTTAAAGTTTATTTAACTGCTGGAGCAGATTCAAACGATGATGCCTCACACTTAGGTCGTTGTCACTGGTTTCGTCTTCACCCGTCACATTTAGTAAAGTGAAGCCAAACTTTAGAGCGCGTTCATGTTCTTCTAGTCGGGAATTCGGAGTTCCGAGGAGAAAGCGAACGCACCATTAGCGAAACGGAAGCTAACATATCAAGCTAATTATATTTACCTACCGGAGCAGATTAAGATGAGGATGTCTCATTTAGATCGTTGTCGCTGGTGTCATCATCACCCAGTTACCCATCACATTTAGTGAAGTGGACCCAAGCTTTAGCCTGCGTTCTCTCTACCATGTTGCTCTGTTTACAACTGGCTCACAGCGAGCGACGACATAACGCTCTTTCGCATGCGCAGCTGTCTAGGCAAGTTCCCGTTATGAAGGACGGGTACCGAAACGAGGCACCGTTTGAAATGACGTGAATCGGTGCTCGGTCGGTACTATGGAATTCGGTCGGTACCTTAAAAGTTACCGAATTCGGTACCCATCCCTACTCATGCAGCCCCAGTTAATAACACCGCCACCACCATGTTTCACTGTAGGCACCGTGTATTTCTCTTTGAAATCCTCACCTTTACGACACCAAACAGTTTTGAAACCATTAGTTCCAAAAACGGTGATCTTTGTCTCATCACTCCAGAGTCTAAAGTCCCAGTAGTCCCATTTAGGTCAGCATGGGCCCTAGCAAATCCTAGGCATGCGTTTTTGTCCATGGGCTTTAGGAAAGGCTTCTTTCATGGACGATACCCAAGCATGCCATTTCTCTGCAGTGTGTGCCGTATGGTGTCACGGGAAACGGTCACTCCAGTTTGGCTTTCTACTGCTTTAGCTAACTGCAGTGAACTTGCATGGAGACGCTCCTGTGGAGATGTTAACTTCCGTGGACGGCCTGGCATCTTTCTTACATTTTTGGATCACTGTTGCTACAGTATTCTGACTGATATCTAAAGCTTTGCTGATCTTCTTATAGCCCTCACCTTTTTGTGTAAAGAAATGATTTCCTTCCTCAGATTTTGTGATGTTTCTCTTCCATGTGGAGCCGTTGCCGACAGTATGAAACAGGAGGGGCTTTTCTTTGTTAGGTAACACCCTTTTAGGGTGCTGGACACCTCTTAAATGAACCATTAGACTCACCTGTGGTTTAATGCCTGTTAATTTGAATGCTGTAGTCTTAAATGTGGCTTTTCTACTAAGACTAATTGGGGTGTACTCATTTTTTGCAATGTGGGCTTGTGAGGTGCATTACCTGTGACATCGGTGATGCTGAGGAGTGCGGTTTTTCTGTGGTGTCCACTTTTGGATTGATGGACCAGTGAGGTGTCTGGAATCTCCAGTCTGGTTAGACAAGGGGTGTTTGCACCTGTTAAATCAACAAAAGCCATCAAGAAAGCACTTCAATATAAAAGCATATTAAAAAGTGGTGTGATGTTCACAAAATCCATAGTTAGGGTCATGTCAGGATTTTGTTTCTCATCACCAAACAGGTTGCACAAGATCTAAAAGAATCCAAACAGAAGTGCAGCTCTCTAACCCATCAGCTAACAAACAAACCCACCCACCGCTGCTCTGTCATCCTCCAACAGGCTAATGGCACTCCGGTTTTTGTTTTTTACCAACCAGTGCCATCATGGCCAGAACCAGGATTTTTGATGAACCGTTATATTCTGACATCAACCAGGAAACAGTACGTTAATCATCATACAGAACCTGGAGGAGGAGGAGGAGGAGGAGGAGGAGCTGCCCGCAGATACATAGTTTCAGCAGCCACCGGGCTCAGGTGCAGCACCGGCTTCTCTGGTAATGCCTTTGCAGGAAGAGATGGAACCTCAGCTGGCGCCTGACTATCACCTGGAACCACACAGAAACAGGTTCTGATTTGTTTTATCACTCAAAGATCTATCTGATAAACACAAACAGCAAGTTCTGGAGAACCAGGTCTGGTCTAGTAGCTGGTCAGTGGATGAACTTGTTAGTGGCCTAGTTAAACTAACCATCAGTTAGAGCTCTCTCACCCTCTGGATCCTTCCTGTTCAGAGGCACCTGTTGAGATGCTTTCTTGGCTCGAGACAGGATAATAGGTATGGTCCGATGCCTCTTTATCACCTGAGGTGCATTGTGGGTAATGGTGTTTAGGGCCGTGACTGTGTTTACGACATGTGGAACGTGATGAGGCTCAAGCTGCACACTGACAGGTGTTTTCTCTTCTCCAGAGTTGGACAGTCCCATGGCTTGAGAGGGAGGAGCTAGAGTTACACAGACTTGGTCAGGTGATGCTACAGGTGAGTCAGCACAGGCCCCGCCCTCTGCTGATTCACTGGCAGCTGGCCTGTCCTCCAGCTCTGGTTTAGTGAGTGACAGCTGCATGTTCTCCAGACCTGCAATGAAGAACATGGCAGGTTACAGAAAACCTGGACCCCTGGAGCTCCACACTCACTTTAAAGGTTTACTGGCCCCATCATGGGATTTTAGACTGGTCTCATCATGCAGCTACAACGGTATTTGGACCATGCTGTCCACAAAGTTTAAGATTTAAAGTAAAACTTTTTCTATAAGCAGTCAAGATTTTTCTGAGTGAGACTCATTTAAGTCACCTCACAGCTCCTGAAACAGGAAAGGAGATAAAGAGTTCCCCCACCAGCACCAGCCCAACAAATGGAGTATTAACTTTGTCTGCAGATCCTTCCTTGGTAAATGTCTTAGTTTTAGACCCAGTGCTGTCGCATGGCCCGCTGCTGGGCCCGGTGTGATTCAAATGTGGTTCAGCAGAAACAAACGGAGCTAAATTAGGATCAGATGTACAGCTTTGCTTTCCCTTTCATTACACATCAGTACCTGGATTTAGGCCCTGTACACACGTAGCCGGGGATCTGCCAAAACGTAGATATTTTTCTACGTTTTGGACTGTCATCCACACGAAAACGGAGTTTTTTCACACGAAAACGGATCTTTTTAAAAACTCCGGCCAAAGTGAAGATCTGCGTTTTCTCCGTTTTGGGTGTCTGCGTGTGGACAGACAAAACCGGAGTTTTAAGGTCCGCAACGTCACTTTCCACGACAAAAAATGCTGACATCACGTGTGCGACCTGTGTTTACACTAGCCGGCAGCATGGATGCCTTCAGAGCTGCGCTCGCTTTATCACTTGTCCAAGCGCTTTTTGCTTGTTTGTTTTTGCAAGCAGAATTACTGCTCCTTGCGGAAGACCACAGTCGAAGGACGAGGTTAAGAACGGGGGAAGTACTGCCGCCTACAGGTCTGGCATGTCCTTAACAACGTATTTATCCGGGTACGTGTGGACAGAGTTTTGTTTTAAAATGAGGTGGTGTGGATGAAAGTTTTTGGAGGGGCGGATATTCGTTAAAAAAAAACCCAGCTACGTGTGGACTAGGCCTTAGCAGTCACTCTGTTCCTGCCTTTTAGCTTTACAGTGGCTGATTTTTAGGTCTGCTGGTGGGATTGGTGGTAACTGTGAGGCTGCTGGTAAATCTAGAATAGATTTAAAGTTGCAGTGATTCTCGGTTTGTGTTTGGCTGTCAGAAGAAACGGACTTGTTGTTGCTTGCGTTTGTAATTACCGGTGAACACAGGAAGTGGAAAACCAGCTGAAAAAACCTGAAACTCAAACACTCAAATACAAACAGAGTCGTTTTTAAGACCTCAACAAATCTCACCTGATGGTTCCATTTGGACATGTCTTTTAGGGGACAGCTGTGTGGGACTCCCGTCCCTCTGCAGAACTTGGATCTCCTGAGGAACCTAAAGCACACAAGAACATTTAACCACTTCATCTGTTTAAGGTGTAGAGGAGCAGCTCTATGCTATTGGCCGGTTTCTGCTCCAAAGGTTCTTTAGTTGTACGTCAGAGGTTTCATTTCTTTTAGACTTTTTTACTGTTCATTTAAACTCATAAATACAAATAATGTGAAACAGAGTTTTGTTAAATTAATTAAGGTAAAGGTGTTGATACTGGTTCCATCAAGTAGTTGGTTTTATTTAGGAAAGAAATGAATACTAACAGGTTGTTTTCGTTTCTAAAGTCTTGTTCTTCCTGTGCTGTAGTGTCGTAACAAGACATAAACCTCAGATCCTCCATTCCTTCATTGTTGTTTGGTGTGAAAACATCTGACAAGATCCTTAATTTTTTAAGAGTGCGCATAGGTGTGTGTGAGTGTGTGTGTGTGTGTGTGCACAAGAGCCAGTGAGGCAAGAGGACCTTCTAAATGACCCTTTGACACCGACTGTTTTAGTCTTACTTCAGTGAAAGAGGTCTGCGTTGGTTCTGCATTGGTGCTTTTCTCCTCATCAGAGGAGATTATGTTGGTGCAGTGTGACGGATCCGAGTTCTCCAGGACAGGACCGGTCTGCTCTGTGGTCAGGTACACAAACAAAGAACAGCTTCAGTCCAATCTGGCTCCAGAGGAGGACGTCTAACTGTGGAGGGGCATCTAAGTCATACGCCTACTTTCAGGTTCTCTAAAGGAAAAACAAAATGTGTTCACTAAGATCATGAGTCAGTCTGGTTCACATGAAGACACAGATGTGTGTGCATTTTGTTAAAACTCAGAAGTTAAACTGTTTTTAACCACAAACACAAACTGCATCATTCCAGCTGCAGTCAGAGGTTTAGAGAACGTCTGGAGCAACCAGCACCACGAGGACCAGAACACTAGTCACCACAATGATTTTAGGGTTTCTGTTTTAATGTTTACGAACCATTTCATGTTCTGAAGAGATCTGATAAATTCACTTAATACAAAATAATTCTGACTGCATTTGTGAAAAACGTTTTAGTGGACCACGACTGATCCAGCAGCACCAGAACCGTCCTGAGCACCAGAACTGCGTCCCAAATCCTATTTTGCTTCCAGGATTCTGTGGAATCAAATTATTAGAATAATTGGATAATGGTTTCAGCCCCAGTCTCTTTAGGGTTTCATTAATAATCTCATTCAGCAGCCAAGCAGAGCTGATCAGTAAACAGATGGATGAGGTGAGGTTTTAGGAGAAACGTTATACTCCTGGTGTAGTCTATTAAAACATCTGATGGATTAAACTGGGTGTGACAGAGTTTGTGATCAGACCTTCTGAGGAAGCGAGAATTGATAGAAATGTATCTCTCCTCTTCTTCAGATACCCCTTCTTCCTCTTCAGGGTTCTCTCGGTGCGCCTCAGCTTCTGGATCAGACTGACCGCCTTCAAAATAAATAATAAAAACTGTGTCTCCATACTACTCACGAGACAGCTGGTCAGTCAGTTGGTTTCTAACCTTCGTCAGAGTGAAGACTTTGGACATCTTCGGGGACTGCCCCACTTCTTTCTGCAGATCACTGAAGTGAGATCGGAGCTGCCACCGCCTCATCTTCTCCATCATGTTGTGATGGTGGCGCTGCAGAACCACAGAGAAGAAAACACTAAATAACAACAAGCAAGCAAAGTGTTTTTGAAGAGGTTTGATGAGATTCCAGGTGTTGATCCTGTTATTTTTTTTTCCAGACCAAATCTTCACTCTGCTTTTATTTTGGTAGAATACTTCTGTTTTATAAAGATTAAAATTTATGTACACTGCTCCAAAAATAAACACTTAACAACCCACACAAGTGGCTCAGGTAGTGCAGCCCATTCAGGAAGAGGATAAATGCAAGATGTGGCAAGAAGGTTTGCTGTCTGTCAGCGTAGTGTCCAGAGCATGGAGGCGCTACCAGGAGACGTGGAGGAGAACGAAGGAGGGCAACAACCTAGCACCAGGACCACTACCTCCACCTCTGTGAGAGGGAAACATGAGGACCGCCAGAACCCTGCAAAATGACCTCCAGCATGCGTCTGCTAAAACGGTAAGAAGCAGACTCCATGAGGGTGGTATGAGGGCCTGATGTCCACAGGTGGGGGTTGTGCTCACAGCCCAACATTGTGCATGACATTTGACTTTTGCCAGTAAACGCCAAGATTGACAAATTCACCACTGGTGCTCTGTGCTCTTCACAGATGAAAGCAGGTTCACACTGAGTACATGTGACAGACGTGACAGAGTCTGGAGACACCACTGAGAACGTTCTGCTGCCTGCAAAATCCTCCAGCATGACCAGTTTGGCAGTGGGTCAGTAATGATGTGGGGTGGCATTTCTTTGGGGGCCGCACAGCCCTCCAGGTGCTCACCAGAGGTACCAAAATGAGATCCTCAGACCCCTTTTGAGAGTATATGCTGGTGCGGTTGGCCCCGGGTTCCTCCTAATGCAAGACAACGCTAGACCTCAAGTGGCTGGAGTGTGACAGCAGCTCCTGCATGAGAAAGGCATTGATGCTATAGACTGGCCCGCCTGTCCCCCAGGCCTGAATCAAATTGAGCACATCATGCCTCTCTCCATCCACCAAAGCCACGTTGCACCACAGGCTGTCCAGGATGCTTTAGTCCAGGTCTGGGAGATCACTCGGGAGACTATCTGGTACCTCATCAGGAGCATGCCCAGGTGTTGTAGGGAGGTCATTCAGGCACGTGAAGGCCACATACACACTACTGAACCTCATTTTGACTTGTTTCAAGCAGTGGTCCCTCGTTTGTCGTGTGAGTGATGGTCTAAAAATACCCTGCAATGGGTGAAAGCCACAAAGCTTCATTTTTTACTGTTTTTACACACACACACACACACACACACACACACGCACGCACGCACAGTTTCTCAACAGCTTTTTTTCCCAGCATGTGTGCACGGGTTGCACACACTCACTCCCATCGCTTCAGGCTCTCGTCACAGGGACTTGCGTCTCCTCCTCCTGTGCATAGAGACGCAGGCGGACTGATTACTACTGCGATCCAGCCTCCAGCTGTGGCACGCCTCTCCCCTCCGCAGACACGCGTGCTCGTCCCAGCGCACCTCCACAAAGTTTTAAGGCTGGAAAAACACTCACTACACACTTCGTGCACTTTTCCAGACAGGCATTACATTTTTTACGCTTTTCTCTCTTCTGAAAGTTAAAAACGTTGTACCTTTTGGATGTAGAACCCAGTGCTCTGTTAAAAAAAAAAAAGCCAGCTAAATTGCCCAAAAAATTTCTGCAAAACTGCGAGATGGCTGAAGGTGAACCGCGTTATAACGAGGGACCACTGTACATCAGTCGGATCGGCCTGTAGTGTGTTACTCCACTTTAACTTTGAGTGTGACTCCAAATCCAGACCTCCATGGGTTGATCAGTTTCATTTCCATAGATAATTTTTGTGTGATTTTGTTATCAGCACATGTAAAGAACACAATATTGAATAAGAATATTTCATTCGCTCAGATCTAGGATGTCTTATTTTTGAGTTCCCTTTAATTTTTTTGAACAGTGTATTTCTATTGAACAAATTTTACACATTTAAATTTATTATTGGAAAAAAAGTTTTGTATTTTTGCTCTAAACATTTGCACATGTTGCATTTAAGATTGAAAAACAAATGTACTGTTCATCAATGCGCTATTTAACTTCATGTTTTTGAAAGTCTGTAGTTCGCCAGCTCTGAACCCCACGCCTAAATCAGTCATAACTTCAGTTTCTTGAGGTCCGTGTGGCAGGAGTGCGGAGTGAGCACCACCTCAACCTTGCCACGTGGACCTCAAAGGATAACCCCCAAATTCCACTACCTCCGCTCCGCCCCCGCCTTCCACAGCCGCTTGCTTCCGAACTCAATTTTTACTGGTACCCGCTCTACAACGGCTCCGCTCCGGTGCGGAGACCTGAGGTGGGCAAACAAGCATGCGCGGGATTTTCGAGATCTTGCGATACAGTCCGAGCAATAAACGCGGAAGTTAGATCCAAACACCCGTTGTGTGGGAGAAGGATCGACATGAACTGTTTAATCTGCCCATCATTTGTGTTGAGAGATCAGCAGTGTTTGGATCAACAAAGGGTGACTACTTTGATAGTGGAAACTGTATTTATGGCTTACTTTTGTGCATTTAAAGTTCAGCCGCCATTGATAGTTGTTAAAAGTTGTTAAACCTGTGCATATGAAACAAAAAACGCCTTTTGTTTATCGATTTATTGTGAAAAACTGAAGTTGTGCTTGCTCCTTTTCCTGTTGGGCGGTTGTGATTTCTGTCCATTTACTGCGGAGGTGCTCCGGCGTCCGGCGAAAATAGGATCGATTCTATTTTTGCCGGATGCCGGAGCAGAGGGCGCCGCACTGCCGGAGCACGGCCGCAGTAGTGGAATTGCTCTGATTGACTACAACGGGACCGATTTTGCTCCGGCGTTCGTGTCGGAGCGGAGCGGAGGTAGTGGAATTTGGGGGTAACCCATCAACCCTGCTCAGTGGTCAACGTTCCGGACGGGGTCACCCATGACGACAGTGGGAGCGTTAAACAACAAAACTAGTTTAAAGGTTTAATTAAACACTCTGATCTTACGTTGCAGTCTGGACTTTTCTCCTCCTCTTCTGTCTCTGTGTCTGATGAGTTTTCTGTCTCGCTGCTCGACACCAAGTTCACCACTTCAACTGGGCGTGGGATTGTGACAAAACCCTCCGTATCATCGTCCACACAGATGATGTCCAAATCCACGAGGTTGACAGCCAGGTCCTCATTTTGGTTGGGTCTTTCGGGTGAGGGTGACAATGTTGGAGCAGGGAGCTCTTCAGGGATGGGAGACTCTGCAGGGGGCTGTGTCTGTGGGGATGCAGGTGTGTGCTGGACTACTGCATGACCTGGAAGTTTGACCTCCTTGGTGAGGTCTTGAGGTGGTGGGCGTCTGTCTGGAACTTTCCCCATCTGAGCGAGAGGCACAGTGACCTGGGGGGAGTCCTTACTAGAGCTGGATGTTTGGAGTTTAAAGGTACAGCTGCCCTGTTTGGCCACAGAAACAAATGTAGAGGGGAGGGAGGTTGATGATGATGTGTTTGAGGATGGTATGGAGGACAACGAAGAGGGTGAGTAGAAGGAATAGGGGCAGGAAGAGTAGGGAACTGATGATGAGGAGGAGGAAGAGAGGGTTCCTGTGGTCCCAGTTGGACTTTTCCTTGTGGTCGTTACAGCTGGAGTCTTCAAGCACAAAGTAGAAAGGGCTGAAGAGGAGGAGGTACCTAAAACAGAGACGAGAACATATTTTTACAATAGAATCGAAAAGACTTGGTCTCTTTACAAAGATGACCGTGAGCTGTGGTAAGCAACAGGAGTCACAGTGGCTCAGGGATTAGTTCGCCCTGTAATCCGTGGGTCACCGGTTTGAACACAGGCTCAGTCTGCACCTGTGGTAGACTTTGGAAAGGACCAAACCTGCTTGTTCAGATTAAAGTGCCATTAGTCGTCACACACACTGATGTGTGAAACGTGTTCTCCGTATTTGACCACTCCTGGGGGAGCGGTGAGTGGCACGGTCCAGAACTCAGGAATCCAACCCCTTAATGTGGAACGTCAAGCTGGGAAGCATTGGGTCTCATTTTATAAGTAAATGGCCTGTATTTGATATAGCGCCTTCTAGAGTCCTGGACCCCCCCAGGGTGTTTTACAACACAATCAGGCATTCACCCATTCACACGCTGGTGAGGATGAGCTAAGTTGTAGCTACAGCTGCCCTGGGAGCACTGACAGAGGTGAGGCTGCTGAGCACTGGCACCACTGGTCCCTCCAACCACCACCAACAAGTAAGGGGGGTTAAGTGTCTTGCCCAAGGACACAACAACAGAAACAAACTGAGTGGGGCTCAAACCTGCAACCTTCTGATTACAGGGCAAACACTTAACTCCTGTGGCACCGCCGCTCAAGTCTTTGGTATGACTCGACTGTGGATTTGAACCCACGATCTCCCACTCTCAGTGCGGACACTGGTACCACTAGGACACTGAGAAGGTTGGGTCAGGTGGTGTTGCATAAAACAAACACTGACCAGGAAGGAAAAAGCCTGAAGAAGCAAATCTAACATACTGATTGTCCAGGACTGAAAATGAAAATCCATCACCTTCAACCGACACGTTCAAAAGAAAAGAAAATAGTCGTAGCGACTTGCAGCTGAACCTGCAATCATCAGCATTGACGATCTTTTAAAGTTTTCTACATTACTTTAGTTTTTGTCAAACTTGAGTTTAAACCACCTGAACTCACCTCCTTTAACGACAAACTTGGATTTAATGGGTCTCAACTGGTTGATGGCAATCAGCTGGACTAACTTTCCATCTGCTTGCCGATAATACTGAGCACTAGGTGCTGTCTGGACCGGCTGCAGGACCATTTGCTGACTGGAGAGGAGACGAGCTGGAACCTCCTGGGGAATTTGTGAAGGTGCAACACGCACCAACATCACCGGAGCGTCTTTAGCAGGTCCTGCACCCACAGACAAAGCTGACGTCTGAAACACCAGGTTCTTGGCCTGCAAAGCTAAAAGAAAAAAAAAAAGGGATGCTTTGAAAATTAAAAAAACATTTTTTCTTTATTATTTTCAAAACTATGGAGTTCTTTTACACATTGGTGCTTATTTTAAATGAATATGTTGTCTTTAAACACACAAAGTGGAGAGGACTGTCGGCCTGCTCACCTGTAGGGGAAGTAGTAAAGGTGTGCTGTGTGACAGAAGGTGGGGTTGAGGTTGTTGTAATAGTGGGGGTAGAAGCAGCAGGGTCAGATGAAGCTGAGAGGGCTGTGATGGGGGCTGGTCCTGAGTTTGGAGCTTTACTGGACACATAGGACTGGCTCTGAGAGCCCACATGACCTGTCAGAAAAGTCACCAGATGATTGGCTGGATGACTAGCCCCCATCCCATCGACGTGGATGTTTGCCAGAGGATAGAGCTTTCCGTTCACCTGCAGACATATGAAAAACTCCTAATAAGCACTGAAGATCCCAACATCTGAGCTATAGCAGAGGCTTGTAGGAGGATAGTAGCTGCAGACTCTCGTCACTCCCTTGTTTGAGTCAAAACACAGAACTGATTCCCTGGTGAATCACTACCTTGAGTTGGAGTGATTCAGTAGTTATTTCTCCTTTCGGAAGAGGGAGGTTGTTTTCCTGTTAGAAGTTAGCTCCTGAGCCAGATGCATTATGAATCAATCCTTCTGATCATGATAATGAGGTGATCTATACCCAACACAAAGGTAGAGCAAGGTGATCTGTACGTCAAAACTCCGCCTAACAATGGCAGACACAGTGATGATGTTGAAGATCCTGCTTACATTCTGGCTTTTTGTCCGAGTTTGAACCAGGAAAAGGCTGCAACCAGCGAGATATCAGGTAGAAATCTCTGGAAGAACCAGTGGCTCCACCCTTAGCCATTCAGTTACTGACAGGGCTTTACTATGGTTTTGTGTTGGGTTATTTATCAGGGCCCCGGTTCATCGTGTTCGTGAGCCACAACAAAAATACGTTATATAAAGGCTCAAAGAACAGATTCTAATTGTTGGTCTGGGATGCCTTAAGACATATGTTGTGATTAGTCTCATAAATAATTTCAACCAGGTATGGTGAAGTCCTCTCAGTGAGACCTGAGTTCAGTAAACTCTTAGCGCTCTGTCAGATGAGATAAACCGAAAACAAAAGTAAAAGAAAGGAACTAGCTTCTGTTTATATTTGTTTTGTGCTGTTTTCATCAAAGCTCCAGGCTGCCAGATGTTGAATTATTTGTGTATTAACTCATTCACTGCCAATGACGACTAAAGTCGTCATTTGCATGTTTTTTACTGTTTGGGCATCGGAACAAGACCCCGCACTGAGAGAACAAACATCTCAGCTCTGAAGCCGATCTTCATCTGCATACGTCACACGTCACATGATCAGGAAGCAAAACATCCATGTGTTAGGAGATAGTTTTGGGCCGTTCCTGTAAAAGAAAAGTGAGGCGCGAACCGGAAAAGCGTCTGCCGATCACAATTCAAGAACGGATTATGAAAGAACGGAAAACGCTCGGAACGCGGATTCTTCCTGATGTAAGAGGTGAGTCTCTTCTTTGTTTTGGTTGTTTTGGCGTCGACATCATCCTAGCGCGCAATGTTGAGAAACACTGGCAGCGAAGGGCTTTAGCTGTCAGGAAACGGCTGGCAGTGAATGAGTTAACTGACCTGGGTCGCTATGCTCCAGGGTTTTATCTTACCTTTGAGAAATTTGTTCAAACTTGCTGGAACTGTCTTGATTTCATTGCACAGTTACTTATACAGGGTATATACAGCAATCCTTAAGTAAAATTTACTACTTTTTAATACTTTTTTTTTTACTACCTTCAGAATTTTTTTAAAACCATCACAACACTAAATTGCAAGTGTTAATCAGCGACCTATTTACACGTATTTTAACATATATAACATACAAAAAGAATAGACTTAGAGACTCACTGATGTTGACAACGTATTGCACATATTTATTTTACTTAGAAGATAAGCCAGGCACTTCTGTTCAGCGGTTTAGACAGTTGACCACGGGGCCTGAAATGATGCAGAACGACCACTGAATATGACGTCATCATAATGTGACCGGATATGCTAAAGTAGGGCTGCTCGACTATGGCAAAAACAATAGTCACGATTATTGTGACTGAAATTGAGATCTCGATTATTTAGGACGATTTTTCAATTTATGTAGATTTTATTTGTTTTTATTCAGTCATAAAACTGCTCAGGGCACAATCAGGACAAAAATAAACAAGAAACAAGATGATCACTAAAAGAACTCCTGATTCCCAGTATAAAAAGACCAATGTACTTATAGCTCATAGTCTATGACCCAAGGGCTATAGACCTTGGTTTAACTCATTTAAGTCTAACCAGTACAGACCCAAATACCAATATCTTGCAAATACTGACAGCAAGAATTATACAGTGGCATTTATAACAAATAAATGCAAATAAATTGATGTTCACAAAATGTTGCATAATACGTATTTAGTCGTGTCAAGGTGCTGTAGGAGAGTGCACTAGCACCGTGTCCTCAGAGAGATTAGTTATTAGTTATCAGCGTGAGGAACTTATTTCTACCTTATTTATAAACTATTTATTTACAGGTCCATCAGTTAATGTAATAATTGTCCCAACCACAGCTGCACCCCCCACCCCCCAACCCGGTCTCACAGCAATCAGGGCAAGCTGCTCGTGTGTTTAGCGTGCTGCACGCGCACATTTAGCCGTTTTAGTGGCTCAGGAGTCCGCAGGTGCGGTGTGTGTGTCACTCACTCTGGTTAATCCAACAGGGAGCCGGCTCCGAGAGCTGTTTCTTTAGCGACCGACACATCACTACATCATTCCCTTTCCTAATGTTGTGAAGAACGGTCCGGAGCGCAGGCGGATTGTTTAGCTAACCTGCAGCAGGAAATGTCGACGACAGTTATCCAGAAAGTAGCTAAGGGTTACCAGAGATGTTTCTGAGGTGTTCGCTAGGTACTTTTAAGATTTAAAAAGTCAAGAAGGGGGTCTGAAAAGCTGCTAGAAATAGCGTCAAAGTCGCTAAGTTGGCAACGGAGCGCTTCATTTGTAACTCAGGGCAGCTCAAGTGGGAGGAGCAAATAATCGGCTTGTTTTATATTTATTTGTTCAGTTAGCATCAGCATGTCGCAGTCATGCTGGACACACGGTCTTCTGGTTTCTAATCCCATAAGGGATTACCACGACAGCAGGTGGTGAATTGTCTCCACAGAGAGGATGTCAGCCGTGTGGAAGGACACTTTTGGAAACCTCCAAAGAGCCAGAAGTTCCTGTATTGGTGCTTGTACTATTTTCTCAGCTTTTTTTTCTATACAAACTAAGATAAAACTGAATCACTGCCTTAACGTTTTTATTTAGGTGTTGCTGTATTAAAGTAAAAGTGAGTTGCCATAGTTTAAATAGTTCAAAAGCTCAGAGTGTCTCTCCCCTGTGAGGAAAGTACCAGGAAGGTTCGGGCCGGACCAGTTACGACTGAGCTACAGCCAGCGGCGGACCAGATCACGGACAAAAACCATCCATCCACTTTCATACGCTTATCCAGAGTCGGGTCAAGGGGATAGCAGCCTAAGCAGAGAGGCCCAGACTTCCCTATCTCCAGCTACATGGGCCAGCTCCTCCAGGGAATCCCAAGGCCAGCCGACAAACATATGGCGCTTACACATTAGCTTCAGCACGGCCGGGTATGGGACTGATACAGAACTGGAATTTGGTTTCACACATGGGTCAGATATGCGTTTTCCAGTTGGAGGCGAGTACCCCATACTCCTGAAGTACCCCCCAAAGGGCTGCCAGGGGACGCGGTGGAACAATGTCTCCAAATCCACAAAACACATGTAGATTGGTTGGGCAAACTCCCACTCACCCTCTAAGGGTATAGAACTGGTCCAGTGTTCCATGGCCAAGACGGAAATCACATTTTTCTCCAGAACTTCTGAATGGACCTTCCGGGGAGGCTCAGGAGTGGGATCCTCCTGTAGTTGGAACACACTCTGCAGTCCCCCTTCTTAAATAGGGGGACCACCACCCCAGTCGGCCAATCCAGTGGAACTGCTCCCGATGTCCACGTGATATTGCAGAGTCGCATCAACCACCACAGCCGCACAACATCCAGAGACTTCAAGGACCTCCGGGCGAATCTCATCCACCCCCAGGGCATTACCACTGAGAAGTTTGTTGACAGTCTCAGTGACCCCAGCCCCAGAGATCGGAGAGTCGAACCCAAAGTCCCCAGAGTCCGCTTCCTCACTGGAAGACATACTGGTGAGACAGAGGAGATCTTCGAAGTACTCCTCGCACTGATTCACAACGTCCCAAGTCGAGGTCAGCAGCACATCACCACCACTGTAAACGGTGTTGGTAGAGCACTGCTTTCCCCTCCTGAGATGCTGAATGGTGGACCAGAATCTGCTTGAAGCCATACGGAAGTCTTGCTCCACGGTCTCACCAAACTCCTTTCAATACCGGGTTTCTGCCGTTGCAGCTAACCGAGCTGCATTCCGCTTGGACTACCGGTACACATCAGCTGCCTCCGGAGTCCCACAAGCCAAAATGACCAGACAGGACTCTTTCCACAGCTTGACAGCATCCCTAACCGCCGGTGTCCACCAGTGGGTTCAGGGGTTGCTACCAAGACAGGCATAGATGACCCTGTGGCCTCAACTGAAGCATGGAACATGGCCCACTCAGACTCAGAGGGAATTGAAGCTCCTTCGGACAGTAAACTCTGCCAGACATTCCCAGCAGACCCTCACAATATGTTTAGGCCTGCCAGGTCTGACCATAGGGCTGGGGGTAAACGATTATTTTTAAAACGATTATTCTGACGATTATTTTATCGAATAGTCGACTATTCTAATGACTATTTATACAATTAATCTAATGATTATTTTTCTATTGCACAATTAACAAAAACCAGAAAATCTCAAATAAATTCCTCAAAAAAATTGATAAATTCTTACTGTAAGAGAATAAACACTACAGGCCTTCCATTTTGTATTACACTGCTTTTATTGTGTTGGTTGGTTATGTTCTGGTGACGTGTAGAACTTGGGAGTGCAGGCTGCTGCCTGAGAGGTGGTAGAAGATGGAGTGTCTCCATGCTGCTTTGTTTTGGTCACTTATGTGCGTGAGGCGAGTGGTCTTACGGGTTAAACCAAACTCAGGTGATATTTTACACTAAACCGAAAACCCACAACACTCTAAATGTAATAAAAGGGAGATCTACACCACAAAAAAGATGAACTCTAAACCAAAACGTAACAGCTTATCCAAACGCAAGAAGCTGTTAGCGAAGATGCTAACAGTAGCTTTACCAATGTTAAGTTCAAGTTGCCAAGTTTAAATAAACCAAAATACCCAGCAGCAAACAGACCAGCACGGAGGAGAGACTGCTACCACCAAAACAGCTCTCCTCATGTCTGAAAGAAGCTCCTTTATTAAGGGAGAAGCGCTCCCGGTGATTTTCTACATCTGCGATAGACACGAAGCAGCGCATCTGACCCCGGAAGTTGTTGTCCGTTGCCGGGAGACGAAGGGGCAAAACAGGAAAATAATCTAGTAGTGGACGGACGTTGTTCCGGGTCTTCGGTATTTGGCGGAGATGTTAGTGAAGGCGGAGAAGAGGGCGAACTAGAGGAAAAACGGGCAGATTCCTCCTCTATTTACAAACTCCTGGGGATGCAACATGTGGGCGCGGTGCGTCGACTTCCGGATCTGACGTCGACAAATTTTTAGAATCGAGCCGTCGACTTCGTCGAGGCTTCGCTACAGCCCTATCTGACCAGCATCCTCTTCCACCATCGAAGCCAACTCACCACCAGATAGTGGTTAGTTGACAGCTCCACCCCTCTCTTCACCCGAGTGTCCAAGACAAGTGGCTGCAGATCAGAAGAGAAGACAACTAAGTCTATCACCAAACTACAGCCTAAGGTCTCCTGGTGCCAAGAGCAAATGGACACAACTATGCTGGAACATGGTGCTCATTATGGACAATCCATGTGACAAGCAAAGAAGTCCAATTAAAAAACACTGCTTGAAATCCGATCGGGGGGCCGTTCCTCCCAACAACACCTTTCCAGGTCTCACTGTTGTTGCCCACATGAGCAATGAAATCTCCTAGGACAATGAGGGAGTCATTAAAAGGAGTGCTCTCCAGCACTCCTTGGGGGACTCCAAAAAAGGTTGGGTAGTCTGAGCTGCAGTTTGGTGCATAAGCACAAACCACAGTCAGGACCCATCCCCTCACACATTCGCATGAGGCTACCCTCTCAATTACCGGGGTAAACCCCAATGTACAAGCACCAAGATGGGCGGCAAAAAGTATGCCCACCCCTGCTTGGCACCCCTTAATGGGAGCAACTCCAGAGTGGTAGAAAGTCCAACCAGTCTTGAGGAAACTTGTTCAGGAGCTGAGGATCAGACTGCCATGGTTTCTGCCTTTGGCTACCACTCGGCACACAACACACCTGACCCCTTTGACCTCTCCCATGAGTGGTGAGCTCATGGGACTAAAAACCAAAGGATCCATCAGTTCCACCAGTAGAGCAATTTTTGTGGTCCTGTTTAAACCATCTGAATCAGTTTGTCTGAGCTAATCAGTCTGAGAACCTCCTCTGATATATCTGGAACACTGAGGTCAAAAACTACCCTCAGATTTAGGCCAGAAGAATTTCTGCCATCTCTGAAGAAATCCCAATGGACCGGTTTCTGCTCAGCAAAATAATCTAGGAAAATCAAGGCTGAAAATTTCTATAACAAAGAACTGAAAACCATCAGTAGATGGGGAGCTTACCTGAATCAGGTGATCAGTTCCCCCAGGGTGTTTCCTATTGGCTGGGAGGTATCCAGCAGGAGACACTTTTTTCAGAGAAGGCAGAGCTATCCCTTCAATCTTTTTTTTATTTGATTTCATTTTTGCACTTCTCTCCTGTCTTTCATCCTTGTATTTTGAGTGGCACTGACTCTCCTCCTTCATTTCACTTTTCTTTACTTCTTTCTGCCAGTCCTCTAAAACATCTGTCTCCTCTATCACCTCTTTCTGCCAGTCCTCTACAAGCTGTTCCTCTTCGAGTACCTCCTTCTCCCAATCCTCCACGAGCTGTGTTTCCTCAGTCACTTCTTTCTGTATGTCCTGCACGGGCTGTGTCTCCACAGTCACCTCCTTCTGCCAGTCCTGCAGGGGCTGTGTCTCCACAGTCACCTCCTTCTGCCAGTCCTGCAGGGGCTGTGTCTCCACAGTCACCTCCTTCTGCCAGTCCTTTATGACCTGTGTTGCCTCAGTCACCTCCTTCTGCCAGTCCTGCAGGGGTTGTGTCGCCTCAGTCGCCTCCTTCTGCCAGTCCTGCAGGGGTTGTGTCTCCACAGTCGCCTCCTTCTGCCAGTCCTGCAGGGGTTGTATCTCCACAGTCGCCTCCTTCTGCCAGTCCTGCAGGGGTTGTGTCTCCACAGTCGCCTCCTTCTGCCAGTCCTGCAGGGGTTGTGTCTCCACAGTCGCCTCCTTCTGCCAGTCCTGCAGGGGTTGTGTCTCCACAGTCGCCTCCTTCTGCCAGTCCTGCAGGGGTTGTATCTCCACAGTCGCCTCCTTCTGCCAGTCCTGCAGGGGTTGTGTCTCCACAGTCGCCTCCTTCTGCCAGTCCTGCAGGGGTTGTGTCTCCACAGTCGCCTCCTTCTGCCAGTCCTGCAGGGGTTGTGTCTCCACAGTCGCCTCCTTCTGCCAGTCCTGCAGGGGTTGTGTCTCCACAGTCGCCTCCTTCTGCCAGTCCTGCACGGGCTGTGTCTCCTCAGTCACCTCCTTCTGCCAGTCCTCCACGGGCTGTGTCTCCTCAGTCACCTCCTTCTGCCAGTCCTCTATGACCTGTGTCTCCTCAGTCACCTCCTTCTGCCAGTCCTCCACGGGCTGTGTATCCTCAGTCACCTCAATCTGCCAGTCCTCTATATACTCTGGCTTCTGCACCTTCTTTCGGCAGTCTTTAGGAGATCGCTCATCACCAGGAGTCGGTTTTGATGGGTAGTCCTGAAAAACAAGAATTTTGATCAGACCTAATCTTCTGCGACTCAACTTCTAACAAGACCAAGTCAAAGTTAAAGTTAAAGTTAAAGTCCCATTAGTCGTCACACACACTGATGTGTGTGCGAAATTTGTTCTCCGCATTTGACCCATCCCCTGGGGGAGCGGTGAGCTGCAGACACAGCCGCGCTCGGGAACCATTTGGTGGTTTAACCCCCCAATCCAACCCCTTAATGCTGAGTGTCAAGCAGGGAGGCATTGGGTCCCATTTTTTCAAAGTCTTTGGTATGACCCGACCAGGAATCGAACCCTGATCTCCCAGTCTCAGGGCGGACACTCTACCACTAGGCCACTGAGCTGGTATAAAGGGATAGTGGTTCAGGGCTTAGATGATTGCCCTGTCATTGGTGAGTTTCTAGTTTGACGCCAGTCTCTCTATTCATATCAACCATGTCCTTGGTCAAGACACTTCAAACCTCGCTGAACCCAACTGTAGTGTGCCACGGGGCAGCTGTGGCTACATTGTAGCTCATCACTACCAGTGTGTGAAATAATAGGGAAGGCTAATTATTGTTTACTTCAAATAAGATGCAAAGTATGAGAAAGACACTGATATCTGTGGTCCCCACCCATGAATCACTACAATATTTCGTTGGGCGAGTTTCAGTAGCCTCTTTCACCCTGGCAGCAAATTGGGGTAATGTGTCACAGCGTGTCGCATGGAATCGCTGTGGTGGCACAACGATGACGTAATATTGCGGCATTCATGCCGCCAAGCTTGATGGCAATATTAACGCAATGGTGCACTTCTGAATGAAGACCAAGCCTTTGTGGAAGAGGGTGATGTCATGATCATGTGTTGGACTTGAGTCGAGCCTTGGCAGGCAACAACTGTCAAAAGGCAAGTGAACACGGGCAGTCAGTTTTGGTTTTTGAGAGATCTGGGACCTTCTGGTTTTTATGCTTGTTTAGTATGAGGATTGCTGTGAAGACTCTGACACAAGTCAGTGACTCAATGCAATTTGCTGGGTTCCTTATATATGAAACTTTTGTCTGATTGGCTTAATGAACTGAACTGTATTGGAATGTTTACTATGTGAGGTGCCTTGAGACGACTCTTGTTGTGATTTGGTGCTTTATAAATAAACTTGAACTGAATAGAAATTTTAGAGCTGAAGCACAGGTCATCAGACAAATCATGGGGACTGTAAAGGACAGCCACCTTTTAGAGCAGCTTGTGAAAAAAAAACTCAAGGAGCGTGGCTTTAAACTGGACAAAAACAAGTTAGATTCAAGCCAAGAAGATCTCTGTGACAGCACGTCAACAGCTCGGAGACCGGCCCCATACCACTATTATACCGTCATTGCATAATCTTTTGTGAAAAACACATGATGTCGCCACAGTACCTTCAAATGCTGACCACTTATGAATGACCAAAGGCTCCCTGATGCCACTTTCACTTTGCTGCAAAGCGGAGCCATTGTGTTATGAAAAAGGCAAGTGCCTCAAGGTTCTTATGCTGTTTGGGGCAGTTAGCCCTTGATACAGTCTCCCACAACCAACTGGTTCTGGGTCAGGGTACAGTCAAATGGGCCATTCCCATCTGTACCGGGTTGGCCCGGGCCGGGTAGCCCCAGTCGGCCCCAGCCTGGCCCGGTTGATTCCACACATCCTTGTCTTAAGCCCATGTGAGCTGATTCTACCCACCAATCAGAGGTTTGCTCTAATGGAAGGTGTGAATTTGCTGTCAGCAGTGGGTGTGTTGGCCCTGGTCGGCCTGAAGCAGACCCCCTCGAGAAGAGGGCTGAGAATGAGCCTTGGTTGGCCCGGAAAAATACCAGGCCATCCAGATATGTAAACAACCTACGCTACCCGGCCCGGGCCGACCCGATACAGATGGGAATGGCCCAAAAAGGTACAACTGACTGAGGTCCCGGCCCCTGCAGCCGTAAGGGACCAAAGCTTTTGATCTTGTGCCAGAATTAATGTTCGGTTGAGTTAAAAAAGTTGGGAGCCAAACCACAGGTTTGGTCCCCAACTTTTAAAACCCAGGGATGCATTTTATCCACTAATAAGGTGCCTGTGATTATCATAGCAGTCATGTCAGACATGAGACTCAGGTTTATGCTCACCTGCTCATGTAGTGTGGATGATTTGACATTTTTCTGGTTTCCTTTGGTTGCCTCTTTTTCTGGTACTGCATCTTGTTTCTTCTTCAGGCTGGGAGCGGAGACCTGGACCGTGTACTGGATGTACGGCCTGAATCCAGTCTTCACTAGAGTCTTATTGATGGGACTGATAAGGTATTTTTTGAACCAGAACCATTTGTCCAGTTGTTCCCGAGCCATCAGCCGACACAGCTTCTTCAAAACTAAGCTTCGGTCTTCATTACAATCCCATTTACAGTCGGCCATGATGAAGAGACGCCTGGCTGGCTTAGGTGTGCGCTCTGCAGGAGGATTTTGAGTAGACTTAACGAGGGATCCCTGGTCCTGCTGGGCCTTTTTAGTTGCTGAAGAAGAAAGAAAAACCTCCATCAGGCAAAGACCAGAATTAGAAAATACCACAGAAAATACTACGGGAAGTATAAACTGATGTTTGCGGGAGCAGGTGGGTTTGTCCTCAACCTACAAGAAGGAGAATCGGATGTTTTTGTTTCTGTCCCCTTGGAGGTCAGCTCTTGCTGTTTGAGAGTTTTCTGTCTGGTCAGCCTTGCATCGTTTGATGCCTCCTGTAGAAAAATAACAAAATAAAAAGTAATGATAATGTGGTTAGCTAACAGATAAGATCAGTTTAACATTAGGTGATCTATAATCACAGAAACAAACCAAGTTAGAACTAATTACAGCAAACGGCTAACATTTTTTACATATCTAAATTTGTTTCTTGACTTTAAAATCTGTGATTTACCTTCTGTTTCAAGGTCTTTCCTCTGAAGCACTGCACTCTAGCACAGCTGCTGTGAAGACTTCTGCGTTTGGACTTGACCTACAGACAGAAGCAGAAACCACTGAAGCTGGTGAAGTATCCATCTACTGTCCTGTTGTATTTATTGCAGAGTGAGCTTACAGCTGGGCTGGAGGAAGGCAGGGCAATGACCGGGTTGTACGTTGGCTCTGGATCAGTGTCCTCTACGTTCCTCCTCCACAGAGTGCGAACCCGCTTAACAGACTGGGTAACACTGTCTGCCTCCTTCAGTACTACACGGTGAACGATAATGATGAGCTTTACACAAATACATTTTTAATCATTTCAAACAAGTTCATCTTCACAAGAACGTGCTCAAAGTTAAGTTCGGTTAAGTCTGAAACCTTCCTCTACTCTGCCTCAATCTTGAAACCACAACAGACCCTACAAGGCACATACAGAACCCTGGCATTCATGCAACTGTTGAGTTCTGATGTAATATTTAAAAACAAACGTGAAGGGTCTTCTTAATAAGCAGTTGCACAATAAAGACAACAAGCTGGTGATCCTGCTGAATGAGACCGTTTGTCCCGAGGACAGGATAGCTCAGGGCTCACTGCTACCACTCTGCTGCTTTTTACCGTCTTCCTGCTCTAACACACCTGATTTGAACGAATTAATAAGGTTTATACCACGGACCCCTGGTTTGATGCTTCTTGACTTTTTAGCCAGTTGAATCACTTCTGCATAGCAGTACTGTTTGTATTCTCTCTTGTGTTTTTGTAAGCGACCGCTGCGGAACCTGCCAAAGATATAGCCTACAGTCATATAGTCTATCACTGTTGATCACTCCTTCATTTAAATCAGGTGTGTAGGAGAAAGAAATAGCTAAACCTTGAGGACTGGGGCTGCTGACCCCCGTTTTGGCACTTCTGTATTGATGATAACTTAAGAGTCATACCGTATGCCATCTTCATCCTCCTTTTCTTCTTCTTTTTCTTCTTCTTCTTCCTCTTCTTGGCTTTGTCATGGTGGGAGGGTGTGCTGGAGTCAGAGCTGTCGAGGTTCTTGAGAAGGACCACCTTCTGCTTCAGGCAGCTGCAGCCAAACATGCAGGGGGGACGACCACAGTGGCTGATCCTGGGGTTGTAGGACAAGCTGGAACAGACACAGCCAAGCCTGCAGAAGTCGTTCTGACAGGGGAGTGCTCGTTTCTGAGGCAGCTGGACCGGGGCGGTCGGATCCTCACTCACAAAACCCTGAGAAGAAGGGGAGGAATGACAGGAAGAGAAGATCATCACTTTACTGAGCGGTCTGACTAACCATTGAAACAATGACATTATGGCTACGTATTTGTTTTTTTCTCGTAGGTGACTGATAAGTTTTGTTCCTGATGAGTCAACTAGAGAACAACAAATCATTTTGTGGTGTGACGTGTGTGTTCTCACAGTCTGAGTAAAGAGAGAAGTCAGCGCAATGGCGGCCCTCTCCTTTGTGATGCTGGTCGGGTCACAGCCCTCCCACACCACACCGTTCTCCAGTTCCTTCTGTCTCAGCAGGGCCCGAGTCACCGTGGGTTGGCTTTCCCTCTTGCCAGCATTCACACTTGGACCAGAAGTCTGCTCGAGCTCAGAATCTGACTCCACTGGGGCCAGATCCCGGTGCATATCTGAAACCACGGCAATGGACCCGGAATGGCTGAGGATATGGGATGAGGTAATGTGTTTGAGCTTTCTTCTCCTAGCAACAGGGGGTTGTTTTACAGATTTGATGGGCTGAGACAGCCCACCAGGTGTCAGGACTACAGGCTGTTGCAGGACACATGGACTGGATTCAGACAGAGCCGGCTTGGATTTGTTCCGTTTGGGACCCCTGAGTTTCTTCTCCGTCCTTCTGTCGATTTTTGTTTCACTGAGACGAGGTCTCTTAGATGGTGGGATGAAACCTGAAATGAGGTCTGAGGCAGGTGAGACAGTTGTCTTGTTCGTCTGAATGTGGTCCAACGTCCGAACGTAACTGGAGCTGATCTTGGGGAGCTTATAGACCGGCGTCTCCACCGGAGGTTGGGAGAAACTTGCAGCTCGCTCATCGATCAGCTTGCCTTCATTCTCCAGATACTCATCCAGCATGTCGCTGCAGAATGCTGACAGGTTCTTCTTCTGCGGTTCGGAACTGGGAACACCTGTAGGATGCAACGCAGATTAAATCTGAGACCTGGTCCAGGATCCTGACTGTCTGATGTCTTCAGCTCATTGTTAAGATCCAAGATGGTTTTAAGCATTCTTTGATCACTGCTTAACTTGTGATCGTATATTTTGAGAGATATATTTTACTAGACCCTACCAAGCTGTGGTGTTGAACCAGACAGCTGAGGACCTGTGGGAGCTTCTGGGCCAGACTCTGAGATGGGTAAGGTCGTTGATGATGTGAACTTCTCTCTCCAGCCTTTAATCTGAGTCACATCTGTAGTTTTTCCCGTCCTGGATAGAAACGTAGAAGAACCACCTGAAGGTAAAGGACAACGAATAACTTAGTGAAACCTTCTTTTGCAGTTTGGGTTAAGACTCTGGCTCTCTGTTCTTGAGTTTCACTTTAGACACCTCACCTTGAGATGGTGGCAGAGTCCGAGTTTGCGGCTCCACATCGGTTCCAGGTGGAGGGATGGGAAGACAGACTCCTAAGTACTGTAGGTCAATGGACAGGGCCGGATCCAGAAGAGTCATCTTAAGTCCAACTGAGCTCACAAAGAGCAGCCAACACAAACAAACGTTGGCTTAGCCGAGCCACCTGTACAATGATATGACTCCTTTAGAGCGGGAGATGCTTACCTTCCTGTAGCACTGGATGGATGACCTGTCTGTATTTCATCAGGTCCAGGTCTTTCAAAAGATTTTTCTGGAAGGCAGCAATGGTTTCCTTCACACAATCTGCTGAAATACAGTAAAGTTTTATTCCAGAGCTGAACTTTTTGAGTACCTTACACCTGACTAAAGTCTGTAGCATATTTAACATTTACACAGAAGATGTTTTTAAACGATAGGTCAGATCATACCATCGTTGCTGAGTTTGGGTTTCTCGTCTGTTTGTTTTTCTTCAGGAAGTATCCGAGGTTGAGAGTTAAGATCTCCACAAGAATCTGCAATGTGGATTCTGAGCGCCTCCTGAAACATTAAAATGGATTTTATCCTCCATGTTCATGGAATATCCTATCAGCAACTATTTAATCATTAAGCTAAGAATCACATTGGAGAACATTAATAACTGCTCTGGTTAACAGCAAAACAACAACAACATACAACCCTTTAAATGAACCCAGTATCTGAGTAGGCCTGCTTTAGACAAACAGCATTCTGACCATAAACCTTTAAAGGACACACACTGAAATAATTTAAAACTTTAAGTCAGAAAAGGGTAGAATGCCTTGTCTGGGTCAGGGATGAGGTCCTGCCCAAGTGGAGGAGTTGAAGTATCTCGGGGTCTTGTTCACGAGTGAGGCAAAGATGGAACGAGAGATCAACAGGTGGATTGGTGCTGCATCTGCAGTGATGCGGGCGTTGTACCGATCTGTCGTGGTGAAGAGAGAGCTGAGCCAGGAGGCTAAGCTCTAGATTTACCGGCCGATCTACATTCCTACCCTCACCTATGGTCATGAGCATTGGGCCTCCGGTTCGCATCGCTGGTGAGGTTTCCCGGGAACGTCCAACCGGGAGAAGACCTACAGGAAGACCCACTGGAGGGACGATGTCTCGCGGTTGGCCAGGGAACACCTTAGGATTCCCCTGGAGGAGCTGGCCCAAGTGGATGGGGAGAGGGAAGTGTGGGCCTCTCTGCTTAGGCTACTGCCCCCGCAAATGGATGGATGGAATTTTAACACCAGGGTGTAATTGTGCTATATAACTAAAGTTTTCTTTTGTTATTACAATTTTCAAAAGTGTTTATTTTCATAGAAAACAAAGTGATCAAATATGGACACTGGCCCTGTCAATAATATTAGAATATTTGACAATGCTTTTATTTAAGGATCTGCCTCAATGTCCTCTTTATCATCGTCACTGATCGCAGGATTGGCTGGCACAATTCAATTCAATTCAAAAATACTTTATTAATCCCAGAGGGAAATTGATTGCTGTAGTAGCTCAGAATTACAGTCCTCCTCCAATTTACATAGAAATATTATCTTAAAAATGAAAAATAGATTTCATATTATATTTGTTATTATTACTGTTAACAACATTGTGAATATTACATTGAAAAAAAAACTATAGATTTTTACCAAAAATGTACATTTCTTTTACTTGTTCTGGGCATATTATCAAATATGGCAGCTGCGATTTGATATACATATATCCTTATTTAGCAAAACTGGTGAGCCTTGTGATGTGAGAGTTTAATAAACCTACCATTGTTAGCTTTTTTTAGATCATGAGGAGAGACCGAGCTGCAGGAAGGCAGTTTTCCAGCACACCAATATTTAGCACGTCACAGCCCTGCGCTGATTGGTCGAATGGCAGCATGGCTCAAACTGTGACTATCTTGATCTCTGATGATTGGTTGGGTGAAATCCTGTAATTCTACGAGTCCGTGAAAAGGCACACTTGACATAATTTATTATGTGAGTGGAAGTGTCTAAATATAGACACTGGCTCTATAAAGGGTTAAAGACATTTGTGTAACATATTTTCTCTGATAGTACCAGGGTCATTGCCCCCATCTAGAACCTGTCAAAGTAGATAAATGTGAGACCACTTTCAGACGAGTAGGAGACTCAAACTGAGACATATTCAAGGCAATTTGAGACTAGATGCAACATGAAAATTTGTTGATGTGATTGTTTTAGAAGTCATGTATATCATATCATATATGAAATGATCAGATAAAAAAACTTACCACATACGTTTTGAAATAATGGTGTTTTTTCCACATTGCATGAAACATTTAGTGTTTCTTGGACTTAAAAACAAACATCCCAAAAAGATCCACCTGGAGTGGGCGAGGGATTGAGGTTTACAGCATGAAAACACGCACACGCACGCACGCACACACACACACACACACACACACACACACACACACACACACACACACACCACACCAAGCTCACAATAGTGGGTGACTGGTGTGTGGATTTGTTGTTTTTTTTAGAATCCGGAACATAAACAAAGTTGTCATTTGTTAATTATTTTTTAATTGACTGTGTTTCATTCTATAGTGTACTGCCTCTGTCTTCTTGTGTTTCATTTCTCTGCGGCAGGAGGACCCACTCGTAAACGAGATGTTTCATCTCAAGTGGTTTAATCCTCCTAAAATATAAGTTAATAAATAAATAAACTACAGATTTACAATGTTTCTAATTACAAATAGAGAGGATTTTATATCTGTTGAGGCTGTACAGGACTTCAATGAAAATTGCTTTACAAATAAATTTTATTATTATTAAAGTATGAGCAAATCTAAAGTAGTACGTTTTCAGCAGCTTTTGCCAAAAGTACCATTATCCCACAAAGATCTATGTATTTAACGGTAAATGTAAGTGTCGTCTACAAAATATTACAAAGGATGTTATATGTCCGTATGGAGAAGCAAATGAATGGAGAATAAGTGTGGACCAAAAATACAACCACAGGGAACTCCACATGTCAGAAGAGGGGGCTAACATGCTGTGGTTAATGGAGTTAAATAATTACTGCTAAAACCAAAAACCTAAGTCAAAAAAATAATTTAAATCATGAAAAACTTTGTAGAGGACCAACTAAATCTACTAAGACTTAGTAAAGGTCAACTAAGGCAAAGAACTTCTGAATCAGACTAAATTAAGTGCACTTAAAAACAATCCACCATGCCCTGCATAACTTTCTACCTGTTTAACCTAATGACTTTTAAAGAAGTGGAATTAAAGTTGTAATACAAGAATTCTGGCACATAGTTAAGGGTTTTACTTGTGTTGTGTGTTCTTACATCTCCTGAAAGTAGTTTCTCTAGGTTTACCTTAGACGTGAATGAGATAAAAAGCTGCTCCTCCACTTCATCCAGGTTAGGCTGCTTACTTCTGTAGTCATCCAAACTCTGGTCCATGTCCAACCGGGCTAGCTTTGTAGACTTGGAAGCCTTCTTTTTCGTGCAGGGCTTGCCGACTGGAACTTGTAGCATCTGCGAAGAAGCTTCTTGTATTTCTGCCACAGTTGGGGATGGACAAGGAGCAGATGTGGGCTCTGTGTTTGCAAATTCCACCCCCATCCCAATATCGACATCAGTGGTGAAAAGGTGCACAAGATCTGACAGGGAAGGTGTTGGGGACAATCCATTTTCATCTAGTGAAGAGAATGTGGGGGACAAGGATAGCTGGAGGGTGAGGGGGGACAACTCTCCAGGGAAAGGCAGAGGTGGTTCAGTCTCTTGAAATGATTGAGTGGAGCCATTTGGGGAGGTGGGTGTTGAATTAAGACTTGGTGGTTGAAGGTGGCGAGGAAACAAAGGTGGTGTAACAGACATTAAAGGAGAAACCTGATGGGGGGAATGAAATGTAAACAAAGACTGTACATTTGTCTCAGGGGGAGGTAACACTGTGTGCCATTTAAGGACTGATGTACTTTTGCTGTGTTCTGGGTCCTTAACAGAATCATTTGTAGCAGCTGCTGCAGAGGAGGACTCAGTATCTAAACCTAAACATGCTGGTAAGGAAGGTAATGGTTCTGGAGAACTTGCAAGAGACAGAGGACCAAAGTCAAAAGAACACTCTGAGTAAAAGAGCAAAGGCTCAGACTTCAAGGGGTCAGAAGACTCTACTGCAGTTTTAGGAGAGTTTGGGGCAGATAACACTGTATGTGGGAGCGAATGGGAAACGGGAAATGAGGTAGAACATGTTGAGAGGGAGGGGGGACTAAAGGAATCATGGAAGTTAGTCGTCACTGGTTTATCATCAGGGACTTTTAGCTCTGAACCCAGACCTTCAGGAGCAAAGGCTAAGGGGTCATCAGTTTTTGTGTCCACTGAATATGAAGCCATGATAGAGTTATGACTTAACTGACTGGAGGACTGTTCTGCTGCCTCCCCTGCTTGTTCAGTTCCATCCAAATCTATTTGATCCGGATGAGCACTGCTGCATTCTGTGGTGTTCCTGACTATGGCCTCTAGATGGGGAGCTGCAATAGCATCCTTGGATTTAGGGGGAGATTCAGTTGGAGGTGCTTGGGTAGGAGAGGTCATTTTGCCATTGGTCTTTTTATATTTTGTTGAGTGCTGTTTTAAAAACAGAGCAAGTGCTGGCAAGGGCAACCGAGCCGGGCGCTTTTGTTGCTTCACAGTATCTGATGCAGTGGCTGAGACATGTTGGTGGTCTGAGTATTCTGAGAAAACCTGACCCACTTCTGAGGGAGCAGTACTACAACAGTTAGGCTCCATGTTCAGATGATGCTTTCCATCTTTTAGTTTCCGATGTCTTTCCCCAGTTGGACTTTGCTTTCGAGGTGTGGAGGGAGATGTACTGTCCCTTTCACCAACACCTAGTTTTTTGCCTTCAGTCGAACTTGTGGCTTTAGTGTTACTCTGTGGTGCACTGAGAGAGCTGCTCTGGTCGCTGTCAAGCTGCTCCACGGGGCACCTCCGAAGCGAAACATGAGCCTCACGAATCAGCTCAGAAATCAGCTTCTGAGCTGGATGTGAATTGCTGATGAAGAAAACAAAGACAGCATCACTTACCATCTATGGTTACTTTTCTATGCACAACAAACCTCCAATACTGATTTTGAGGGAAATTTCACAAGTGTGGTATTTGGTCCTTTTAACTCATACCCTGGTTATGTTTTTGAAGGTATGAACACAGTAATCACACTTTGATGTGGACTCAAAAAACCAAACAGACCCTTTGAAGAAGGCAGCCCCTGTACTACACTGAACCAACTCGAGAACGGTTTTGAAATATGATCGGACAAAACTACCATATGAATGCTGAAGGACTGAGCCAAATGTCTTCCTGTACCCAGGTTGAAGCCAAGTTTGAGAATATTCTCATTCACCGAGTTGCAGTATAATTTTTGGTCTCAGCACATGATCAGGACAGAATTATCCAATATCAAATCATAATACATTTGCTGTTGCTACACATTGGGAAATGAAAAACCCTACAATATTAAGTTTACAACAGATTTTTATTGGCTCACTTTTAAAATAAATGAGCTAAGTAGTCTAATGTTTTAGTCTAATGTTTTAATTAGGGCTGCACAATATATTGCAAATGTATCGTCATGGCAATATCAGCATGCGCAATATGCATATAGCAAAGAACAGAAAAAATTTGCAATGAATGGTCAGCTCAAATGTTTGCTACATACAATGTATTTTCAAACAGAAGCATGAAGTTTTTGACAAATCAAATAAAGCTCTTCACCCATGTGGCCAATTGGGTGGGTTCTCATAGGTTAAACGCCCGCCCCTGAAGCCGGCGGCGTGTAATTTGGATGGTTAGCAAACACCTGAGTTAGCTTCTTTCTGCTGATTGTGCTTTTTTATGAATCCACTGATTGATCTTTTTCCCTTCCCTCACATCTCTTGATGACAATTTTTTGCTTTTCCCATTTCTCATGATTTATTGTTTAGTCATTTTAAAATTGTTTATTTCTTTGTTTTTGATTTTTTTTATGTTACGAAGTTGAGTTTTTATGTATTGCAGGTCATATCGTCATCGCAACATTACTCACTGTTATAGAGAATTGCAGGTTTTCCTAATATCATGCAGCCCTAGTTTTAATGTTCTAATATTTTTATGTTTGACTAAAAAAAAATCCACCTCATACTTTAATATCATTCCTAAACAGAAAACCTTAACTCCACATTTGAGGTTGAAGGAGCAGGAACCTACCATGAACGGACTACCAGCAAGGCCCGGTGCCTGAAAGACAGGCTCGGACCAAAGCAGTGTGGCGATTGTCTGGGTCATGGAAATGATGGCCATGGGGTAATGGGAATCTGGCTCACCAGTCCACATGTGTGAACACTTTTCATAACACCATGCAACACCATCAAACAGAAGAGTAATTACAAATGTACTGTGCTGCAACATTGTTGTTAAAGTCTCATTAGTCATCATCGCACTTGTAAAATTCATCATCGCATTTGACCCATGCCCGTGGGAAGCGGTGAGCTGCAGCAGTGGCCTCTCTTGGGAACTATTTGGTGGTTTAACCCCCTAATCCAACCCCTTAAAGCTGAGCATCAAGCAGGAAGGCATTGGGTCCCATTTTTTAAATCTTAGGTATGATCTGATCGGGATTTCAACGCCGATCACAGTCCCAGGGAGGACACTACCACTAGGTTCCTGAGAAAGTTATTTGTTCAAATCAGTCCTGCCGGCATTTGTTTACTATTTGTGCGTTCCTATAGGCTAACCAGAATAATACAGACATGAAAGGGAGCAAGTCGCTACCTACCACCGTGGAATCGAAAGCACTTTATTCAATAATTGGGTTTTCTAACTGACCGGTAAACTCGGACAAAGGCTCCCACTCTGATAACGGTATTAGCTCAATTATTGCTATTGCTCAACTTAGATGGGCACCACACCGACTGTAGTTGTGCTGCTAAAGGCTTAAACTGCTGGAGGACATACTGACCGCTTTTCTACTCTCTGCTACTTTCTTCTTCCACTGTTTTCTAATTGCATTATTTCCAGTTATTTTAACAGCTAACTTTATGTTTTCTTTGTGTTTTTCTCTCTAGAGAAGCTACACCTGGTCTGAGGTTCTGTTCGACTGATGCCTACCTGGAGGGGCTCATCAGCTGGCTTACTACGACCTTTGTTGTGAATTGGCCCTTTGTAAACTTAACTGAATTTAAGGGACTTGTGAAACATAAGTGTAATAGAAATGCAGAACACAGACTGTGAAAGGCTTACTTAAGGAGGACCCACTCTTTTAAATACGATCAAACAGTTGAAACTCTAAAAATTAGACAAGTGTGCAAAAGTGCATTATTTCAGTAGTTTCAACTTTATAATTGGAGTGACTATCAGACTAGCTATTTAACACTCATGCATGCACACACGCACGCGCGCACACACACGCACGCACACACACACACACAACTTTAGTTTCTTAAGAGTTAAAGGACCTTGAACTGAGACTTAAAATAGGACTTTAAATAAAACATGTGGTAAAAATAAATAAAATTAAGAATAGTTAAGAGATTTTTCACGATTAAAGTGTAACTCTTACCTTGGAGTTTCCTTTGGAACAGCAGCTGAACACGGATCATTGTTCTTTGTGGAATTTTTCTGATGGTCGATAGAAAATCTTGAGACCCCTTCTTTTGAACATTTAGGTTTATGGTTTTCAAGCAAAATCTTCAAGCTTTTCTTCACAGGATGTTGCTCAGAGACAGAATCACTCCCATCTTTGTTCACGTCTTTGCCTATGTTGGCTTTCAGTTTAAGGCCCCATGAATTTAGTCCACCCTCCTTCAGTCCTTTAGCAAATGGATTGTAGTTTACTTTCAGCTGAGCAAACTGAGGGTTTTGGTATGTAGTAACAGTTATAAACTCAGTCTGACGAAACGAGAAAGTCAGGACATTGGGATCATTTAGTCTGATAATGTCTGTAGCTTTGTCCATCTCTACTAAATGCAGTCGTGGCAAATAGCGGTGCAGCGGATGGAGGATAATATTCTCCTCTTGGTATGAGAGGTTGTTAGTAAGCTTTAGTTTGTAGAAGGACACAGGACTTTGCATCCAGTGTTGGCCTGTTGCTGGAGACTCCGGATGTATGAATGGCTTACTTTTTATGTGACATTCTGCTTTTCTAGAAGTCTGCCAACCCTCACCAGTCCATATGTATTGGTTGTTGTCTAAAGGCTGGATGTCCATGATCAGACTGTACTTCCTGTGTGGCTGCAGACCAGAGATGCGAAAGCGGCAGTATGGAAACATTCTGCAGCCTTGTTTAGTCAGAATCATTTCTGTCCTGCATCTGAAGTACTCGTTCCACATGCTGTTATTGTCTAGTGTCACTTTGACTCCTTTACAAATGCTGTCAGGTGGCATGTTTTCAGACTGAGCGTTTAAACTGTTGGAATGCTTTTCACTCATCTTCATGATGGCCTCCTTGGTTTTAGTTGTAGCGCATCTACCACTAAAATCCATTTCATCACAGAACTCACGGCTGCTTTGAACACTTCCGCCTTTATGAATCTTCTCTGGTTTCAGAGGCACATGGCGTGCAGGCAAATGGTTGGCTGCAGTGCCCCCTTCTTTTAGGAAACCCATACTCTGGTGAGTTCTTGTAGAGGCCATGAACAAGTCCCAGTAGGATCCCTCTTCATTGCACAACAGTTCAGGAACGCATTCTGAAAAAGATCAAACCATGTCACTAACTAGCCTTAGGCGAGACATTCTGTGTGAGAAAAACTGACAAGCATCTTTCCGTTCTACTGGACATTGCTTTGACAGAACCACAGAAATGCTGAAGCTTCCACAGAACTAAGCCATGCAGCAGAACCTGTTGGATCACCAGTAGAGTGTTCACCTATTCACAAAACATGCTATGTTGGGGCTGAGCGATAAGGTGTCAAATCAATATAACAATACATTTTCAATTAGGACAACTACCCGAACAGTGACAGTTTGGGGGAGCAGTGGTGGTGGTAAATTTAGTCTAGAAAATACTTGTTCCTACAAAAATCCTTTAAAACCATTTGGTAACATTTGGGATCTGATTGCTCCCCCTTTAGTTGATTTTAATTAAGTTTTAATTATCAGTTATTTCAGTGAAATAGTTTGCGGGCCATTGCTGTCAAACATCAAGTAAGACACAATTATCAGAAAACTAACAGCAGATAATGGGGAAAAAATAACAAATGTTGGATTATGAAAACGGCTTTGATGAGAGAAACTGATAAATTACCAAAAGACTTACACTTATAGTGAATCTTTTCATGTTGCACAACCAAATTCTACTGCACTATAGACAAACTACTGCAATAAACTACCATGTTATGGGTAACAAAGCATTTCAGCAATTAAAAAAACTTTCAGGTTTTCACTGTAAGCTACAGTTTATTTTCAGCTCAGTTTTTCAGAGGACATGAACAACAAAAGTCTTTCATTGTACACAGAAGTAAAAAAACTGATCGATAAAAAGAATGCTATGAACAAATGAAGACTTTGTGTTCTTACTTATAAAATATGTTTGGTTATTGTCTTCAATAAAACAAAACAGAAGGTCAACTGTCTGTCCTTGTTCTCAGCTGCTTATCAGGTACAGGCATGGACGAAATTGTTGGTACCCTTTGGTCAATGAAAGAAATACCCACAGTGGTCACAGAAACAACTTGAATCTGACTAAAGTAATAATAAATAAAATTCTATGAAATGTATCCAGTGAAAGTCATACATTGCTTTTCAACCATGCCTCAATGGAATTATTAAAAAAAAGCTCATGGAACAGAACTGAACACCCATAAGTTCATATTTTGTTGCACAACCTTTTGAGGCAATCAAACGATTCCTGTAACTGTGAAAGAGATTCTTGCACATCTCAGCAGGTATTTTGGCCCACTCCTCATGAGCAAACAGCTCCTGTTGTCTCCTGTATGAAGGGCGCCTTTTTCAGACAGTATGTTTCAGCTCCTTCCTTCCAGCTCGATAGGATTCAGGTCAGGGCTCATAGAAGCCACTTTATAATAGTCCAATGTTTTCCTCTCAGCCACTCTTGGGTGTTTTTAGCTGTTTTGGGTCATTGTCCTGTTGCAAGACCCATGACATTCAACTTAGACCAAGCTTTCTGACACTGGCCAGCACATTTCTCTCTAGAATTCCTTGATAGTCTTGAGATTGCACTGTACCCAGCACAAATTCAAAACACCTGTGCAGCAAAGCAGCCCCAGAACATAACAGAGCCACCTCCATGTTTCACAGTAGGGACAGTGTTTGTTACTTAATTAGCTTCATTTTTCCATCAGTGAACATAGATCTGATGAGCCTTGGCAAAAAGTTCCAATTTTGTCCCATCTGTCCATAGAACATTCTCCAAGAAGCTATGTGGCTTGTCAACATGAAGTTTGGCATATTCCAGTCTGGCTTTTTATGATTTGTTTTCAACAATGGTGTCCTCCTTGGTCATCTCCCATGTAGTCCACTTTGGCTCAAACAACGATGGATGGTGCGATCTGACACTGGTTCCTTGAGCTTGAAGTTCACCTCGGATCTCTTCAGAAGTTTTTCGGGGCTCTTTTTGTTACCAATCGGATTATGTCTCTCTGATTTGTCATGTTTCTTCCTACGGCCACATCTAGGGAGGTTGGCTACAGTCCCGTGGATCTTAAATTTATGAATATTATGTGAAACTGTAGTCAGGAACATCTAGCTGCCTGGAAAGTGTTTTATAGCATTTGCTTTTAATATCCTTGTCTATAATTTTCTTTCTAATCTCCTGAGACAGCTCTTTCCTTTGCTTCCTCTCCATGTTGAGTGGTACACACCATGTCAACAACAACACAGTGACTACCTGGAATCCTATATATAGGCCCACTGACTCATTACAAGATTGTAGATACCTGTGGTGCTAATTAGTAGTCCCACCTGGAAATAACATGTCCCTTTGGTCACATTATGTTTAGTCTTTTCTACAGGTACCATAACTTTTTCCCAGGCCTGTTCCATGAGTTAATTTTTTTAAATTATTTCATTGAATCGTGGTTGAAAACAAAGTCTGACATTCAATGGTTACATTTCATACACTTTTATTTATTATTACTTTTGCCAGATTCAAGTTATTTCTGTGACCATTGTGTGTTTTTCTTTCATTGAACGAAGGATGCCAACAAATTTGTCCACGTCTGAATGTGTAGTAGAAGTTTATTTATTTTTATTACTTTTTGCAGATAAAAGTCACAAAGTGTTTCACAGACAAAAACAAACAATAAAACTGATACAACGAATAACAAAATTTCAAGAGTAGGTTACACACAGTTAAAAACAGATGGGTAAATGGAAAAAGATAATTTGTAACTGGATTATCAAGGTAAGAAAAATGTTTTGGGTTTTTTTGCCCAGCAATATTATCAACTAGTCTTGGGATCAATCATGGTCATGTAGTTCTGTGAAGTCTTGTTAGAAGTCCAGCTCAAGCAGCTCTGTTGATGTCCAGAGGTTTGCAAGTTTGAGGCACAGGCACATTACAATCAAATGGACCTGAGAAAATAATGTAAAATAATATGTAACATAGAATTGAATGAAAATTCACAAGAAATTTTATTGTAAGTCACATTTAATAAGGAACAATGTTTTTTTCACCCACCTTTGCTCATTAGGATGAATGAGAGAAAAGTGCCTCTGAGCTTCATCCACTGCAGCAACAAAGTAGCACGTAGCTTAGCTTTGTAGCAGGTCTGATTAAACTATCTCGTTTGGTTAAATTAGTAACAGGTCAGTTTCCCACATACTTTGGTCTGAAGGTGGTTAGCATCTGATTCCACCAGAGGAGCTGGCAGTCTGGGTCTCCCTGCTCAGACTGCTGGCCCCGTGACCTGACCGTGACAGATCTACATCACAGTCACTAATGTTCATGACTCACCCACCTTTATGGGGAAGTCTGTTATTGGTTTAGCATCAAAGAAACAGCAGAGAACGCCTCAGCTAGAAGCTAACTGATAGCAGTAGCACCTCTACCACGTGACAGAAATCACCCAGGCTTGTGTTATTTGTGTAGAATAAGAATCAACATTGCAAAGCAAACCGAGTCAGTGGCAGAGCCGCATTGCTGTTACACCCCCCATCCCTGAGGAAATAAAACCCCAAATCCTGCCCTCTAAAGCTCTCCTCTGATGTGGCAAGTATCTTGTTCCTGAAACTGGTACACCTGAGCTTTTCCCCCTTGAGCATGACAAATGTATTGATTAAACAAGTGCTCCACACCTTTTTTTGGGGAGAGGGGGTGGGGGGGTGGGGGGGTTAACTCTCCAGTTTCTAAACCCATAAAAGCATCTGGTGCATAGCCAGATCCCGGGAACAGACTCCACACAGGGATGTTGGAATATAACTTTAGGTTCCAACTAGGACTGCTTCATGTAAATAGTCTGAAATACAACTTGGGTGTACATTCCCTTATAAAAATCAGTAATCATCAGTTCTCTGGATAATTTCTTTCATGCTGTCGCACTGAGACATTTGGCTGGTAGCAAGATATTCATCTTTAATATAAGAAGGTAAGTTCTGCTCATCAAACTACTGATGTTAAGAACTGTGATGCAGATGTTTGTGTGTTGATGAAGCAGATATCTAATTTGTCTAGTTTTCTGTTGTGTCAGAATCAATATTTATCAATGGATTGAAATATTAGAGATTTTTTTTCCTGAATTAAAATGAAACTTAAAGAGCAAGTCACCACCAAATCAGCTTTTTTGCTGATAAACTATGTAAATGCATGTCTAATTGTGCTGCAGACACGTGTAGTCAATAGTTTTGCACTTTATTGCATTTTAGTTCAAATTTAAATTTTCTGCCTGAAACTGTCGGTGTTGTGCCGTTGTCAGGTAAAAACTTTGCCCTGCATTTGAATTTAAATCTGCCACCGCTATAGAGCTCCGGGAGTTGACGTCACTTCTCCCGGCATGCAACAGTTCAAATCGAAACAGCACCATATTGGCAGAAGCCCGCAGCTGGACTATTTGTTATTGTCAGAAAACTCAAACGGGAAATATGGTAGATTCCCGTTGTGCCCCAGGATGCAGAACAGACGCGGACGACATAAGGGATGAGCCATCTACAGGATTCCCCAAGATCCGGAGCGCCGCAAATGTTGGATCATTGTAATAAAACGCACTAGTGACCGGGCTAAAATGAAACTGTGGGACCCCGAGAGTAAAGGTTTTCGCTTATGCAGCGACCACTTCATATCAGGTACTTAAACCAACGTTTCCTCAACTGTGTGTGGTATTTATTTTAAATGCTTTTATTACGATTCTTAGTGGGCTTCCTAAACTTATTTTGGCGCGGCTTTTTCTGTCTTATTACTCATAGCAGCAAGTAAACAACACGTAAAACGTTGCCTCGTGAGTTCCTCGTGCTGCCGTTTACGTGTTTTATGATCACAGCTATTAACCGGCTAAGCTGTATTTCATTTTTAAGCAATGGTTGATCAATTGTCAGATCACACATAAAAAGCACTTTGGATTGCTATTATCTGTCTCACCAAGACAGATCTCAGACAGATCCTGAGACGCTCCTGCCTGACATATTTATTTTATTCACGGAAAAAAATCAGACTAGTGATTTTTCTTGGCGTTCAGTTTATACATTCAAACAGCACAGCGCTCTATTTAAACTACTTATGTGTAAATCTGTTATTTGTCCATCCATCCATTTTCATCCGCTTATCTGAAGTCGGGTTACGGGGGCAGTAGCGTCGAGAGGCCCAGACTTCCCTCTCCCCAGCCACTTGGGCCAGCTCCTCCAGGGGAATCCCTTGGGATTCCCCGGCCAGGTCCGGTAAGAAGTCCGCTCCGACAGCATCTGGCGTTTTTAAAAAGTATCCCAGGAGCACGGTAAGGGTCGGAGATGTTTAGTCTATTTAATTACTGACTATATAAAATGATTTCTTCGGTTTTAAAGTGTGAAGTAAACTCCGACGAAGTAAAATCCAAGCCGATCCCGTTCAATTTGTTTACATTTGTTGCCTGCCAACATAGCTTCTACTCTCCGAGAGTCACGTGACGTCCGGAGCTCTATTGGCTAAAAGGTACCCTAGAACGTTAGCTGGTACCATATGATGTCACAATGTTGTTGTGAGCCTGTGTGTGTGTGTGTGTGTGTGTGTGTGTGTGTGTGTGTGTGTGTGTGTGTGTTAGTGGCTCCGCCCTCTCGGTCTGCTAGGCAGCAGCATTTGTTGCATTTTTCAAACAGGAAGTGGGAGTGGAGTAATACTCTGGTAGGGGGTGACTTGCTCTTTAAAACTACCATTATTCTAAATTATGTTAACCTATACAGAAACTAGACCACAACATTAAATATTTTAATTTCTATCATGCACAATGGCATAACAAATGCGCAACTTTGTACAAAAACATTTTCGTGCAGCTGTTTGCGTGTAGTTATTCTGCTCTTTCTATCAAAGGCACTCTTCAATGTAGCATTTTTTTTTCAACAGATATTTTTCATATTTAATCAGATTTATGCCTTTGCTGCTGCATTACTGCAGCACTATTATATTGTTTACTATGTTTACATGGAGCCATGTGGACTGTATTGATATTGGTTTATGTTTACTTCTTCACCTATACATTAATTAGTAACTAGGTAATAAAATATCAAATAAGTTAAAGAGCACAAGTTCCATGTGTACACATGCTTGTCCAAACTGACCTGATTCTGGGTCATTTTTATTGTTTCAGGGACCAATCTGCAATATATTCAAGAAGCAGCATTTACTACCACGTAACTATTCTCTAGGGATGTGAAAATGAACTGATTTGTACCAATTTCACAAACATGAATGACACAGTTAAACCCGTGGAACTGCCCTGTACCTTTCGGTCTTTTTCAAATGGGTGTAAATTCTACAAGCAGTTGTTTCTTCACACTTTATATTCAGAAACTAGAGAACTAACGAAGGTTATGTTTGTGTAAAAACTTTGGACTCCATGTCCAACTCGTCTTCTGCTGTCATTTCATTTGTTTAGAAGTTTGTTATCCATTGTGAAAAACTGCAGCAGCACTGACTAAAACATTATGATCATGTTGATCAAATGTTCCACAAAAAATGATCACTTATGTTTAGTAGTCATCATATAAAAATGTTGCTGTTCTCTGCTTAGTAAATGTTTGTTAATTTTGTACTAAACCATATTCTGTGTTTTTAAATGCGAGTCTGGATTTGTAATAAGTGTTTTCAGTTTTGATAAGATTTAGCATTAGGTAGTAAATATTAGACTAATCCAGTGATTCCTAACCTGGGGTCCATGACACTCCAAGGGGGTCCCCTCAAGATTGCAGGGGGTACCCACAATTTTGTCTGTGCTGAGATTGTGAGGTTACCAAGATCATATTTGTAAAATATACATTATAAAATCCCAATAACAGTCCGAATCAAAACTCTGTATGTCTGTATAAAGTTTGTAAATAATCACTTTTAATGTGTTTATGCTGGTAGGACCTGGGATTGGAGTCCTGGCTTGTCTTAGACACAGGCAATGGCTTCATCAAGGAAAACCACTGGTCTAATCAATGCATCATTTGCTTAGTGATACTGGTTTCCTTTTAATCTCAATGTGTTGAATCGAGCCTGTATTAAACCCTACCATATTATGACTAACTGGTGAAAAGTATCATACTGAATAAGTCTTAGCTGTTCACACATTTCTGTTGAATTAAATATTTTGCAATGCATAGTGATACATATCGTATATTGACACCACTATGCTGGCCTGGTAAGCCATCTTATATATGTGAATATATAGTCTAGCCACAACCCATTCACAAATCTCAGTTTAGGGGTGTGATATACAGCTGTCTTTCAAACTGTCTCAGCATGCTATTGGACAACAAATGTGATAAACTCACTGCTATGAATGTCAGTCAATGTGGCAGTCGAAGAAGACGCAAATAGATTCATTCTCTAAATAAAGAACTTAAGTACCTAAATCTACACTTGACTTGAAAAGCCCAATTCTAAATAGTCCAAAGTTGATACCAAAGCAGTTTCAAACAAGCCACCGCCATCTTACCCCTTTATTCCACCAGACGTGAAAGCGATATGTAGCATAATAGTGGCGTTTTACCGCAAGCTCATTCCACAACAGCAGCGATTTGGATGCAAACCATGAGCGAAAGCTTTCCACAAATCAGATCCTGTGAGGTCACAAAATCACAGAATTGCAACACCACACATGATTTCAGGGGTCAACACAACAAAAAGCAAGGAGGAAGACAGCTGCGTGTCTCCAAAAAGTGCTCTAACTGATTTTCTGTTCTGTTTACAACGGTTACAGAATTTGCACAGGACATGGCATTCTTCACAACTTTTATTTTGAAAATTTCTGGATGCTTTACACTGAATTTGTGTTTGTCTTCCTGTCTGGCCAGGAGTTTGACGTGTTTTGAAAGCGTAGCAAGTTACAGACTCTAAACGTAATGATGGCGTCCCTTCGCTTCTGGGTCCACAACGTCACACTTGGCTGCCAGTGGAAATGAACCTGACCACTATAACAATGGCTAATTGCAGCCTAGTATGTTTGGCACCGCTTTCACGTCCAGTGGAAAGAAGGGCTTTATTTTGCTCAGTCGCAGTAAAATTCTGTCTAGATAGACAGCAGGAATTGATCCACCAAACCGATAAAGCTCTGTGATTGGCTCACCAAACAGATGGACTGCTGTTACTGGCACGCTACCAGACTGGCCAGGGCTTCGAAGGCCACAATGGAGCATGGCTACACCAACAGGCATAGCTAAATCCTTTTACTTCTGCTACTGTGGGTCTAGATTTCTAGGCTACCACTATGCATCAATGACTGCTATCAATTCAACTAAGGTTTGAGTTTTACATGGAGATGAGTAGCCAGGCTGGACTTTAGGCTCTAATCAATAGTAGTATTTGTTTCATCTATTGATAAAGAATTCAGAAACAAGTTAGCGGTTTCAACAAGATCATGGTTCTTATTTGAAGGCATGGCGTTTAGCTAGCTGCGATGGTTTAAAGCAAGTCACCTTCAGCACAACTCGAGCGGAGATATGCAGACACAATGAAATATGTTCCCACTTTCCATACATTAGGTGTTTCACCATACTGTGGTAGTTCTCGAGTGATTACTATTTTATTACAGCTTTGGGCTGCAGTTAGCTTGAAGCTGCAAACACCACTAGTTGTAAAATGGTGTTAGTAAAACCAGCACAGAAAGTTGTGACTATCAGTGATAAGTCTGCATGCCGTTCCCAGTAAGTTCGACGGGAAACATGTTAAGATTATTATGCTAGTAAACACTAGCAGCTAGCTAGCAGCAGGCCATACACTGGGCCCAGTAATGGCTGCCCTTTAAACACCGAACGTTTAGCAGCACGTGCTCCCGTATCTGCACGCACATTACCTTCTGCCAATTGGAAAACACTGAGTGTGAACCCGGTGCGACATAAATCCGTCCTATAGTCAGTTATTCCGTCGAACTGGTGCCCACGTGTTGGCCATCTTAAACAACTGTCGGGGGGAAAGTATCATTTTTTTCCACAACACGTCATCCGTCGTCTTCCTCTGGTACTGCGCAGACTCAGACACCATCTTACCGTCGCCAGACTCCCCACCTGGCCGAGTGTTGCAGCTCCTTGACAATCGGGAGGTCGGATGAGATTCAGGTCTGGAAGATTCTACTCTGCAGGTTCCGGTTACGGGGTGTCTGTAGATCCGCAGTGGCCAGGGATTTTCATGGACACCGAAAAGGCTGATGTATTCGTTTTCTCTACGCGTGCAGAGCACAAGACGAAAACATAGAATCGAATGAGACTATGTCCTTGTCCGGGTTAAACCGGAACGCGATGGTTATAGATGGACCCAATGTAGTGTTCATTTAGCTGCTTATGTTGTTTGCCGTCCTACAGACGCGTGATTCGTGACTGATTAATAGGACAGGCGAGTCCTTGTGGTGCAGCCGCCGGTGAACTCGGTCTAGTCCGGTCCGTGAGCTGCCGCCATGTTGATCGTACGAGTGGAAGGTTGCTGCGTGATGGCGGATGCAGCCAGAGAGTAGTGATGGAGTTAGTACGGGGCTATCGTTAACCCCGCGGGAGTTGACGCATCCGGGTGGATCGCGTCGACAGCATTCAAATAACGTCATAACGGAGAGCTGGAAGCTGAATTTAGCCTTCATGATCCGCCTGTTCCTGTATGGAACCTCTTGAGTGACTTAAGTGAAATTTGATTATTTTTAACCGGACTTACATCTTTGGCTACGATACAAACTATAAGGATAAAATTCAACACCGGTACTTTTACCAGTTCCGATGGACCAGAAACCGGCTCAGTCTGCAGTTCAAGAATTCTAACTGAATCATTTATGTTCAAGGGATACTGTGTAGACTTTCCAAACAAAATGCAAAGCTCCAAAATGAACTAGTTACATCTTTCCTAGAATAAATTAGACAAATGCAGTTAAATTTTTGTGGATGACCTCATCCAGATGTCCTTTGTATGAAAGTTATGATTTTTGGTATTTTCACGTGTTCTCTCTCCTAACTTGCTTATGCCTTCAGGGTCACAGGGAGATGGTGCTGGTCTTCAGCAGTCATTGTGGTAAACATGGTATACATTTTGATTTGCAGTAAGATTGCAGGTATGGTCATCTGCACAGTTTGCATGTTCTCACCAAAAGTTAAAATTAGTTTACCAATCTCAATGTAGGTGCCTATTCTTAAAAACCATGTAATTAAAGCTGCTTTCTGGAGTATTTCTCTTGTTCGATGGCACCATCTAGTGGCTGACAAGCATATCACACAAAAACGCTGTTCCTTTGTTTAAGATGGCGACTTCACATTTCTGTTTATAAATGTGCAAACAGAGCTAAAACACGTTGTTTTACGAATATTATTCTCATGTCATGCTGTGTTTTCATGTATTTATATTTTAGAGGCTTTCTTGTCCGTGGAAAGTTCATCAACTTTGCATCAGCCGAGGTATTCCTTAAATTTGAAGCGTCTAAGCGGTAGTCTAACCCCAAAATTCCACTATCTCCGCTCCACTGCGCTCCGGCACGAACTCCTCAGCAAAAACGGTCCCGTTGTAGTCAATCAGAGCTGTTCCACTACTGCGGCCGTGCGGCGCAGTGTGCCACCCGCCGTTCCGCCATCTGGCAAAAATAGGATCGATTCTATTTTTGCCGGACGCCGGAGCACCTCCGCAGTCAATGGACAGAAACCACAACTGCCCAACAGGAAAGAGAGCAAGCACAACTTACGTTATTTCACAATAAATTGATAAACAAAAAGCGTTTTCTGTTTCATATGCACAGGTTTAACAACTTTTAACAACTATCAATGGCGGTTGAACTTTAAATGCACAAAAATAAGCCATAAATACAGTTTCCACTATCAAAGTAGTCACACTTTGTTGATCCAAACACTGCTGATCTCTCAACACAAATGATGGGCAGATTAAACAGTTCATTTCGATGCTTCTCCCACACAACGGGTGTTTGGATCTAACTTCCGCGTTTATTGCTCGGACTGTATCGCAAGATCTCAAAAATCCTGCGCACGCCTGTTTGCACACCTCAGGTCTCCACATCGGAGCGGAGCCATTGTAGAGCGGGTATAGTATAATTTGAGTTCGGAAGCGAGCGGCAGCGGAGTGGAGCGGAGATAGTGGAATTTTGGGGTAAGGCTATTGGTTAGTTCTGGTCGGCGCTCAGTTGCCTACTGCACGGAGCTCTGCTGGGCAGGGGGCGTGCTTAGCAAAAAATAAATAAAAAGACGTATTGCTTATATTATATCACAGTTAGTGATGGGAATTCCAGCTCTTTTTAGAGAGCCGGTTCTTTTGGCTCAGCTCACCAATAAGAGTCAGCTCTTTCGACTCCCAAGTGGCTCCTCAGATTTTCTGTTGCGTAGAGTACATTTATAACCAAAATAATGCAAAACTATATGTAAAATGATTTACTCATGTAAAAATATGCTATATATCAAATATTTATCATTTCTATGGATTTAATAACTGAAAACTTTGACAAATCTCCACTTTCCGACTGCTGGCGCTCGTTTTCTCACAGTCTTCGTCGCACTCTCCTCTCTCTCGCTCGCCTTTTTCCTCCTCTTTCCCTCTCGTCTCCCTCCACCCGCATGTGCTCTGCTGTGTCTGCGTCTGATCCTCCCTCTTCCCCGCCCCTACTGCTTTGTGTGTGGACAGTCTGGACACGCAGTTAGTTGACCAATTGCCTGTAGCTTTCACCAAAGCAAGAGGGGAGGGGACGGCTCCCAACGACGAGCTGGCTCCCATCGTTCACTTCAAAGAGAGCCGGTTCATTCGCGACCGACACATCACTATTAACAGTACATGATAAGATAATCACTTTTACGGATTTCTGACAAATCATACATAATTTCTGAAAGAGGAAAACTCCAGAAAGCAGCAGAGGTTATTAAACTTACTTAATCAAATTGAGCTTTCTAGCTATGTTTTTATTTCTTTAGTTCATTTTATATAGCGCTAAATTACAAGAGCCTATCAAGGCACTTGTAAACATTCCAATACAGTTTTGTTCATTAAACCAATCAATAAAAAGTTTCCTATATAAGGAACTCAGCAGACTGCATTTAGTCACTGACTAGTGTTAGTGTCTTTACAGCAGTCCTCATACTAAGCAAGCATGCAGCGACAGAGGAGAGGAAAACTCCCTTTTAACGGGAAGAAAACTTCAGAGGATCCTGGCTCAGTATAAGCAGCCATCCTCCACGACTCACCTGTCAACATAAACACAATCATATTTTAAAAATCAAATTTGGTCCTGCGGCTTATTTTTGTATTTTTGATCAACTAAAATAGAAAACATGAAAACAAGACAATTTTTGTTGTTTGCATTTTGATTTTCAATAGAATTTTTGAAAAAAAAAGGTTACACAGATTTATTTCCCTCTCAGTTTATGTTATTACCCCAATGCACAAAGCGTTAACACTCAAAAAGCATTTAAGTATACCATCTGCTTGAACATCTGAGCTTCTTTAATAACTGTTCTCTGTTAAATTTAAGATCACTGCTGAACAGCACAACTCAGCTATCTGCTGATGTAGATCTGTAATTGCAGTCTCCTTCAACATCAATGGCAAATCTGCAAAACAAGCTAGCTTTTAAATACAAACGCAGTCACGGAACTCTCACCCCTCCCGTCACCTTTCATTCCTAGGCCACGTCCGCCTGATATCACAACGCACGCTGCCACAGAATGAGAGCGCACAAAACACCAGTTGTCATTTTCTAGTTCCAAACACCTTGATTTTCGTGATTTCAAATGGCGATTTTCTTTTTGTCGTTTGTCTTAAAAGTTGAAATGGTAGCAGCTGGCAGTTTTTCTGACATTATTGAGCAGAAAACCTCTCACCAGTGGTGTTTTATTGCAAAATGCACAAGAGTGTAATGAGCAGAGGACCCAGGTACACCTGGAAGTGCAGTAGTCCGACGAGAGACCGAATGGTCCAGTCGTTAGTTTGGGTTGAGCCATGTTATTGACTGAGGTTTTTAGAAAAATGCAAGAGAACCACCTCATTATTTATTTCTTTGAATCTGTGCAATATATTTATAGCTATAATATGTTAACACATTAAGAGGTATGAAGAAATGTTTTAAGCTAGCATGTTCTGCAGGTTTGCCTTTGTATCTTTTAAAATGCAAACTCGGAATACTTCAATTTTATTTATATAGCGCCAAATCACGACAAGAGTCATCTCAAGGCATTTCACATAATAAACATTCCAATTCAGGTCAGTTCATTAAGCCAATCAGAAATAATGTTTCCTATATAAGGAACCCAGCAAATTGCATCGAGTCACTGACTAGTGTCAGTGACTCGATGCAATCCTCATACTAAGCAAGCATGCAGCGACAGTGGAGAGGAAAACTCCCTTTTAATAGGAAAAAACCTCCAGAGAATCCTGGCTCAGTATAAGCAGCCATCCTCCACGACTCACTGGGGATCAAGAAGACAGAGCAGGTGCACGCACGCACGCACACACACACACACACACACACACACACACACACACACACACACACACACACACACACACACACAATGTGTCTATAGTTATATTGTAATTTCTTAGTAAATATTCTATTTGGTGAGAGATAAACTTTATTGTATTTATCCTAATGGATCTATAATTAAACGGGTAAACTAGCAGTAACACGTCCAACGTCAAGGAAAGCAAAAAGTTATTATCAGGAGAGGGAGAATGTTTAAGTGGTTAGCAGCAGTGTGCTAGACGATGGCCCCCTCCATGAGGCCACCACAGCTCAGCACAACATAATTGTAGCTTCTTCTGGGGAGAAAAACAGAGAGAAAATAAAGTTAACAGCTGAAATTGCAGAAAATAATACAGTTAAAGAGCAGACTGTAGAATAAAGCAGTAGAGTGTGGAAAGTGGTCAGTGTATCCTCCAGCAGTCTAAGCCTATAGCAGCATAACTACAGAGATAACTCTGGATAATCTATCCTGTTTAGATGGAGGCATGTTGGAGGCAGGGCAAGGGAGAGCCGTCTTTACCGACTGTACACTCCACCTCCCTCTACTCCCCCACTTGTCCAGATTTAGGCTAACATCAGATTTTAACCATAGGCCCTATCAAATAAAAATGTTTTAACCCTAGTCTTAAAAGTAGACAAGGTGTCTGCCTCACAGCTTTACAGAATCAAAACCATGCGTCCTATTTTTATTCATGACAAAAAACATGGAAGTGATCAGTAAACAGTGTAAGGTAACTTGTATGCTCCACAGAAACCCAGCTCATCTGAAAAATGTTGATGGACATTTGGCTCAGTTTTATGGCTTTTTGTCAGACTCCGAACCAGAAAATGGCTGCAGGCAGTGAAACGGAAAGCAAAAAACTCTGGAGCAACCAGTGACTGGGCCTCTAGTCAATCCAATCAGCGGCCAGAATAGGGAGCCTAAGTCACTTCTGCATCATGGGTCGCCGGAAGAACAAAAAAAACGAATGCAAGTCAACGGCTAAAAACACTATTTTCTAATCCGCTTTGCCTTATGCCCTGTATCACACATATACTGCAATTTAAATGAAAAGTAATGATGGGTGTTTCGACCATGCCAGTCACGCACTTTGAGATTTATTAGCTTGTAAATGTACGTAATTAGCATGACTACAAACTAGAAATTGGCACATCGCATATGTGACGTCACCACATAATCTCCTCTCCCTAGAGTAGTTTCTTCTGGGGAGAAAAACACTTTGAGAAAAAAATAAAAATTAACAGCTGAAATAGCAGGAAATAATACAGTTAAAGACCAAATTGTAGAAGAAAGTAGTCGAGTGTGGAAAGTGGTCAGTATGTCCTCCAGGAGTCTAAGCCTATAGCAGCATAACTACAGAGATAACTCTGGATAACCTAGCCTTTTAGATGGAGGCATGTTGGAGGCAGGGCAATGAAGAGCCATCTTTACCAACCGTACACTCCACCTCCCTCTACTCCCCCACTTGTACAGATCTGGGCTAACATCAGATTTTAACCATAGGCCCTATCAAATAAAAATGTTTTAAGCCTAGTCTTAAAAGTAGACAAGGTGTCTGCCTCACAGACTAAAGCTGGGAGTTGGTTCCACAAGAGAGGAGCCTGATAGCTAAAAGATCTGCCCCCCCGTCCTTTTTTTTCCATTCTTCTGGGGATCCATGATCCAGAAGTGACTTAGGCTCCCTATCACAGTGCCGGCCCGACTCAGCTTTGCCAGTACCTCAACGGAGCAGGGACTGAATAGGGAAGAAAGTAGTGGGTGCCCTTAAGAACTGGTTGGGCTGAGCTGCATCAGTCCAAGTTGCTCTGAGTATGTTCCTGGAAAACCATCTTTAGAAAACAATGCCACCAATTTGTCGCAACACTGAGCCAGCATCAGGGAGCCTTACCCCTTCTTTCTACCGGAGCCGTCAGCAGCATGTTACTGCAGCAGCGCGTCTTGCTCGCGTAAGCTGCTGCTTGGCCCTTCCCACGAGATGCAAAGCAGCAGGGGAGCAGCTGTCACCGACAGAGCACAAAGTCACACGAGTGACTTTGTCAGTAAACACAACAACAAGCAGGAGAAAACTACAAGATGGCTCCAAAAGGTTTGCGTTTTATGTTCTGTCCGTTTTATAATCGCCAATACGGACCTGAAAATCAAAGGAGACCGCTAGCTAGATGATAACTTCTCACGGGGCCGCACAGTTAGTAACTTTTTTAAAGTAAAGCAACCAGAAGGCAGTACGTTTCTTTATTCGCTTCGCTCCGTTTCCGCGTCCGATTTCCTGACTTTCCTTCCCCAAAAATGTCAATTTTGATCCGTTTCAGAGGCGTCGCGCGTAGAAAATAGAACCGGCGCGTAAGGGCCACGACATGCTGCTCCTGAAACGCGGCAGACTCATGCTGCTGATGGCTGCTGACGACTCCAGTGGAAAAGGTTCTGTTGACCACAGCGGTTCCTATCAGCAACTATGACATGCTGCTGCAGTAACGTGCTGCTGACGGCTCCAGTGGAAAGAAGGGGTTAGATTCTTTGTAAGTGGACACTGTGGTGATAATGTGGCTTTTTTTTTTTTTTTTTACAAAAGATTGCACAATGGCATCATAAAGGGGGTATGTGGGCAGTCTCTGCACTGCAGCGAACTTCCGTTTATCTTGGACATGATTTTTGTTGTGATCAAAGCCGCGCTCAAAGTTTTTTTTGCCCATGTGTACTTTCATTTTTAATACAGTTGCTTGCTGGAGCTTGGCAGTAATTCTACACGTGATCATGACACCACCCTTTGTTTCGCCAAGGTGTAATATGCATTCACTAGGGCTGTAGCGACGCATCGATGACGTCGACGGCTCGATTCTAAAAATTTGTCGACGTCAGATCCGGAAGTCGACGCACCGCGCCCACTTGTTGCATCCCCAGGAGTTTGTAAATAGAGGAGGAATCTGCCTGTTTTTCCTCTAGTTCGCCCTCTTCTCCGCCTTCACTAACATCTCCGCCAAATACCGAAGACCCGGAACAATGTCCGTCCACTACTAGATTATTTTCCTGTTTTGCCCCTTCGTCTCCCGGCAACGGACAACAACTTCCGGGGTCAGATGCGCTGCTTCGTCTCTACCGCAGATGTAGAAAATCACCGGGAGCGTTTCTCCCTTCATAAAGGAGCTTCTTTCAGACATGAGGAGAGCTGTTTTGGTGGTAGCAGTCTCTCCTCCGTGCTGGTCTGTTTGCTGCTGGGTGTTTTTGGTTTATTTAAACTTGGTAACTTGAACTTAACGTTGGTAAAGCTACTGTTAGCATTTTCGCTAACAGCTTCTTGCTTTTGGATCAGCTGTTATGTTTTGGTTTAGAGTTCTTCTTTTTTGTGGTGCAGATCTCCCTTTTATTACATTTAGAGTGTTGTGGGTTTTTGGTTTAGTTTAAAATATCACCTTGAGTTTGGTTTAACCACCCAGTTTAGAGTTTGGATCCCTACTTATTTGTACTTTGTTTTAATTCCCCACAGGCAGAATTAGTTTTATTACTCCCAACCTGTGGATGGAAAGATTTATGATTTTTGTTGTTGTAAATAAACCTGATCATCATTTTAACTTTTAAATCCCGTTATTGTCCCTTCCTTTTTGCACACGAGCCAAACTCCCCAGGAAGAGTCGTAAGACCACTCCCCTCCCGCACATAAGTGACCAAAACAAAGCAGCATGGAGACACTCCGTCTCCAACCACCTCTCAGGCAGCAGCCTGCTCTCCCAAGTTCTACACATCATCAGAACATAACCAACCGCAACACAATAAAAGCAGTGTTATACAAAATGGAAGGCCCGTAGTGTTTATCCTCTCAGTAAGAATTTATCAATTTTTTTGATGAATTTATTTGAGATTTTCTGGTTTTTGTTAATTTTGCAATAGAAAAAGAATCATTAGATTAATTTTCTAAATAGTCATTAGAATAGTCGACTATTCGATAAAATAATCGTCAGAATAATCGTTTTAAAAATAATCGTTTACCCCCAGCCCTAGCATTCAAAAATCCGACGTTGCAGCAATATTACTACCAAGTGTGGCTGCACAAATGCTGCAGAATTCCCACGTCATGCCACCACGGCGCGTTCATGAAACAACATAGCTCAAAAGTTTGGAAGCCTTGTACAAGCACATACGAAAAGCACGTACAGTGTAAAATCTGCAAAGCAGAAATCTCCTTTCACGGGAGCACAGCAGTGATGCACAATCAAAGCATATCATGGTGGAGGAAAAAAAGGGACTGTCGCCTATTGTTAACTTCTACATCAATGGAGAGTTACTTGTATTTATAGCTGTAGCAACAACATGGCAATTTCATTACCTTTAGCACAGGTATGATTTATTGTATACTGCTACGTTACAGTGTTGAAATAAAGCGCTCCTCTTCAGTGGACGAGTGTGTTACCAAGCGAACATGTACACCTCGACAAGCAAATGTCCTGACCGAGGAAATTTTGAACATGTTGGTGATGGACATGACACCCAAGTTGTTTGATAAGCAATCATGTTTTTAATTTTATATGGCACATAAATGATCACAATTCCAACTAGAAGCTATTGGTGATAATATTAGAGCAGTTGCATCCTGGTGCAAAGGCTATACTTTATGCATGACAAAATAAGTCGACAAATCGCAAAAACTGGTGATTAGTCAATTATTAAAATAATTTGTGGCAGCCTTACTCCATTACCTCACATAACATTTATGCTTAAATGCCTTCTCTCCCATTGTTGATTGACTGCTCTCTTTTGGATATGCAAATCTAGCGGTCAACACTAGACTTGTGTGATTACGTTAATTTGTTGGGGGACCTTGAAGGAAGTATAAATTCTGAAAGAATAGAACAGGGTCAGATAATCAAATGTATGCATTTTTAAGTGATTATTCAACT